AACTTGCGGTGACTGTGTTTATAAACTGCTATATAATAACTCATGCAAACTCTGAGGAAATCACAGACTTGAAACCCCCATGAAGCTGGTCCCTGGACCACAGCTCAAAACTGGAAATAAGTGGAACAGACATGATTTAAAGTTTGACAGACACTTTACCTGCCAGCATCATACTCAATAGGCAAAAACTACAAGTGTTCCCCTTAAGAGCATGAACAAGACAGGGATGTCGGCTTATCTCTCTTATTCAACATGGTACTGGGAGTTTTCCGCATAGCAATCAGACAAGAAGAAATAAAGGACATCTGAATTGGAAAGGAAGAAGTAAAACTGTCTTTATTTGCAGATGACATGATACTGTACATAGAAAACACCAAAGATTCCACCAAGAAATATTGGAACTGTTAAATGAATTCAGCAAAGTAGCAGGATACGAAATTAATATCCAGAAATCAGTTGCATTTTATATGCTAATAATGAACTAACAGAAAGGGAAATTAAGAAAACCATCCCATTCATAATTGCTACAAAAAGAATAAATTACCTAGGAATAAATGCAACTGAGGATGTAAAATACTGTACTTGGAAAATTGTAAGACACTGAAGAAAGAAATACAAGAAGGTACATAAGTGGAAGCACATACTGTGTTCTTGAATAGGAAGAATTAACATCACTAAAATGTCCATGCTACCCAAACTACTCTGTAGACTCAGTGCAATTTCTTTCAAGATTTCAATTACATATTTCACAAAGAACAAATATTTCAAAAACTTACACAAAACCACAAATGGCCTTGCATAGCAACAGCTATCCCCAAAAAGAAGAACAAAGTGGGAGGAATCATGTTACTTAATATCAAATATACTAAAAGGCCGTAGTAATCAAAACAGCATGGTACCGGCATAAAAACAGACACATAGATCAATGGAACAGGATAGGGAGCCCAGAAATAAACTCACACCTTTATAGAAAATTAATATTTGACAGAGGAACCAAGCATATACAATGGGCTAAAGATAGTTTATTCAGTAAATGGTGTTGGGAAAATTGGTCATGCAGAAAAATGAAACTAGACCATCTTCTTATACCACACACATTAAGTTCAAAGTGGATCAGAGACTTACATGTTAGATCTAAAACCATAACCTAATCTAAAAATCCTAGAAGAAAGCATAAGCAGCAAAATTTCGGACATTGTTCATAGCAATATTTCATCAGATATATCTTCCCAGGCAAGGGAAACAAAAGAAAAAGTAAACAAACGGGACTATACCAAACTACAAAGGTTTTGCACAACAAAGGAAGTCATCAACCAAATAAAAAGACAGCCCACAGAATAGGAGAACATATTCCTCAATACATCTGATAAGGGGTTAATATCTAAGATTTATAAAGAACGTATATAACTGAAGCAAAAAAAAAAAACACAGCCCAATTAAAAATGGGCAAAGGACCTGAATAGAAACTTCTCCAAAGAGAACATAGAGATGGCCCAATAGACTTGAAAAGATGCTCAACATCACTAATCATCAGAGAAATGCAAATTAAGACTATAATGAGAAAACATCTCACATCTGTAAGAATGGCTGTCATCAATAAATTGCCAAACAACAAGTGCTGGCAAGGATGTGGAGGAAGGTGAACCCTTTCGCACTGTTGGTGGGAATGCAGACTGGTGTAGCCACTGTGGAAAGCAGTATGAAGATATCTCAGAAAATTAAAAATGCATCTGCCTTTTGACCCAACAATTCCACTTCTGGGAATATATCCAAAGGAACTCACAGCACTAATTCGAAAGAACATAAGCACCCCTATGTTCATTGTGTGTTATATACAATTGCCAAGATATGGAAGCAGCCTAAGTGTCCATCACTAGTTGAGTGGCTAAAACACCCATGGGACATTTACACAGTGGGATACTACTTGGTCACAGAAAAGAGAATGTTACCATTTGTGACAGTATGGATTGACCTGGAGAACATTATGCTAAGTGAAATGAGCCAGTCAGAGAAAGACAAATGCCATATGATTTCACTCATATGTGGGATTTAAGGAACAAAGTGAACTAACAAGGAAGATGAGGACAGGCTCAGATGGAGAGCAGGATGACAGCTAGACGGGGGTGGGCAGGTGAGGGAGTGGAAGGATTGTGCAAAAGGGGAACAGGACTCATGGACGTGGACAACCGTGTGGTGATTGGGAGGAGGGGGTAAAAGGGGGTTAAACGATAATGGAAAAAATACAATGAAGATTAAATTAAAAAAATAAGTTAGGGTGTAAGGAATCACAATCTTGGACTGTGTATTCTCACCATACACTTTTTTATAAAAGGTGTTTAGTCTGTCTCCTATAATAAAAGAGCCCTGTCTTTCTTGGTCTCTGGTGAAAATTTTTTTGGTAGTATGATGAATGCAAATAGCCTTCAGGAGAAAAATGAAACCAGTGGTTTTCCATGTAGTTTAACAATTGTTCTTCTTGACATTTTATTTTGACCTATTGGTTAGCTCCCAGCTCATTTTTGACCATAGGAATCCAAGTGGAATTCCAGATAGGAAATATTCTAAATGTGCATGAGCATTTCCCTAGTGTTTGTCCTCTATAACCATTTCTTACATTGCTTTCGGTTCTGCGATCACTAGCCTCAAATTACCATGTTAGATGGGACTGAGTGTGTTAATTCATAGTTTTAAAACTTTTTCTCTCTTGTTTTTTTTTTGATGCAAAATAAATAGAAAATAAATAGGAAAAACAAAGATCTCCAAAGAGCACTTGAGAGTTACAGATATTTTGGAGCCTAAATAACAAATGCATATTAGATTATAATATAAATTCTAAGTTCATATTAACATAAATTGTCATGATCCAGTGTGTTATACCAATGCCTGAGTAAATATTTAACATGCAGAAATAGGATACCTTGATTTAACTGGTGGGATGAATTAAGAAAACCTTCAAATGTATGAAATATAAAGAAAGAAAGAGTGCATTTAAAACTGTATGATAGGTTGAAAATTCTAATGTCTATTTTCTTTGATCAATCATGTTAAGGTTTTTTGAATTATAATATTTTATTTTATTTTATTTTTAATTGTTATTCAATTACAGTTGTCCCAATTTCCCCCTGTTGCCCTCCCTGTCCTGTTCACCCCCCTTGATTTAAAGATACATAAGGTTTACAGTCTGTCAAATCTGCACTCTACATGTAAATTTGTTGGCTTAGTCACTCACTCCTGCTTGTTCTCAAAGAAATATTTAGTCTTTTCCTGAAGCAATTTGTGGTATATTCAGATCCACCAAGCTATTCTGAAGCTATTAGATCAGAAAAAAATAGCAATAAATAAAAAATGGGCTTAAGTACTCCATAGTTTTGTCTCTTTGGAAGAATCCTCTGGCCTCGTGCCTTTTATTCTCTCCACAAGTGATGTTTTTGCTTCTGTGAAGTGCTGTATCCTTGGATTGCTGTTCTGTGTTTGATGTAATCCGTCAAGACATGACTCCTATTACATGTGACAAGTCATTACAAGAAAATAAAAATCCAAAACACATTTGAGTTTTATTTTACCGTACTACTTTTATTATATAAATGTAATACTGACAAGTTGTGTTTTGTTTGGTTGGGTGCCTCAGCTTCCAAGTCAACCAGCTGATTCAGATGGGCGTAAAAATTTATTGGTGCAGGAAAAAAAACCCCACCGCTAATAAAGATGATTACAATGATAATTACTTGTAGTGATAGGAACTTGTTAAAAATGTAGGATTTGAGGTCCCTCTCCAGGCCTGCTAAATCAGAACCTGCATTTTAACCAAGTCCACTGTGATCCGATGCAAACTAACCCTGGAGTAGCATCGTCTGAGTGTCTCCGGACTCCTTCCCACACTAAGAAAGGGCAAGCCAGGCTGAGAGTCAGTCAGACCCAGCCAGAACCCACAACTGTTTGCTTAATGAGGACGCATGATGGAAGATTTAAATAATTTGCAAGCTGGCATTTACCTGCAAGTGTGGTAAAATCTTGAAAGGAAAAAAAAGACAATGCAACATTTACTTTTAGGAAAACTAACAAGCCTTTTATATAATTGCAAAATATTATATTTAGGAAGGCCATCTACCTCTTGGGGTGTCTGGCTTTAGGGGCTGTGACGCATCCGAGGTTTCTACTGCCTGTCTGTGAAACAGCTGATTAGAATCTGGATTCAATTTTAGGTATCAGGACCGACCTCTTAACCAGGGCTATAAACTGTTTTACAAACTTTTCATTACTTGTTTCTATGACTGTAAAAGGTAGGAAGCATCTCTTTTTCTTCTATGCTGCCATCCATTGGCATGAGAACAGAAAAGAGAGGTTATTGAGAGAATTCTAACTCTAATAAAATTTTTGTGTATGTTGAACTGATAACCTATGTTGAGCTACTTTTTATTTTCTTCCTTTCTGGATTTACAATATAAACCCAACCTCTTCTTATCTCATGGTGGTTTTTTTATGTGGGAAGTAATCTGGGTAAATAATTCTATATGATAAACCTTCCATAAAAGCCTAAAGCACTGTATGGCTTTCAGGATTCAAGTTTAAGTTTCATGAAATAACTAGTTTTATTCGTTTTTATAGCTAAAATATATAAATATGAAGGTTCGAATCCAGTAAAGGACAGTGATTTGAAAAGCATAGGTTTTGTCACTTCCTAAATTTTTCATGTATTTTCCTACTCTTTTGGTTTTGCGGAAGAAAAATCTAAAACAAATTTTTAAAAAGGAAATTTGTAAACCTGTATCAAGAAGCAAGTATCCCAGCATTTTCAAGGCATTTCTCAATGTTTGATTGTCTCGTGATTAATTTATTCCTTCTCTTAAGCTTTCTGTTTCCTTAAGTTATTATACTTTGATGTCTGGTAATACTAAGGGATCAAAAGGGCATTTTTTGTTATGCTGGTTTTCTAATGAGCCTTGTTCCTATTGATTTTGCTTTTAAATATTCTACATTTTAATTGAGCATTTCTTTTTTAGCTGTGTTTTGGGGTGATATTGCCTTAGATGATGAAGAGTTAAATATCTTTCAAATTGATAGGACAATCGACCTTACACAGAACCCCTTTGGAAAAGTTGGACATACCACAGGTACAGTTGATTATTTGATTTAATTTGCATTCATTTCAAAGAAAATATATTCTTGAAATGCTATAGATACTTTTTGGATCATTTTTAGCATCTCTGTGATCAACTTTGATTTCCTCGACACAAATGTGCCCATGAAGAAATTTAAGATTTGTTCATAGTTTTTACTTTATGACTTTCTTTAACCAACAGGTTGTGGTGTTTACTGTGTACCAGGCCTGGTTTCAGTGCTGTGGAGATAGTGACTCTTTGAATCCTTGTAACATCCCAAGAGGGTTGACATGAAGATCATTGTGACTTACCAGTGAGGGGAAGCAGGTTTAGAAGGTTGTAGAGATTGCTTATCATCACATAGCCTGGAAGGTCTGAGTCAGGACAGAAGTTTGGTTCTGAGGAAGACCGAACTTCACACTCTGGAGCGTTGTCTTCAGTTACCTCCCATTTGTAGTTGCAAATATTGAGTTGCAACATGTAAGTTATTTATAGAGTAATTATGCACAAACTTATTGGAAAGATTCACCTACCTGCTTATATAGCTTTTATGAAAACCCAGAAGATAATTTCAATTATAGTGTTTTGACATGTTTGAATCATATCTGCGTGAGTCTTGTAATATTTAAAAAGTGATTTGGGTTCTCATTTTGAAATATTTTTATTAAAATTATAAAAGTCTTTATATTGATATGATTTTTATTCTGTATTCGATTTTGGAGAAAATTGCAACATTAAAAATTCTTTTGGTAGCTGTAACTAAAAAGTTTATTCAGTGTTATGCTTTTTGATCTCACTGAAATTCTTCTTATACTCAATACTGTATTGTCTTCTATTCTATGGAAGATAAACTATATAATTTATTTATGGCATCTAGCAGACAAAAAAGGCTTAGGCTTAGTAAAAGGCTTAAGCCTTTTTACTATGAATTAATATCTGTCCAGTTTACTTTTTTGCAACTTTGTATTATGACAAGTTACAAACATATAGAAAAGTTGATAGGAAGTTGATAGGGTAGTATAAGAGATACCAACATAGTGATATCCCATTTACATATTCAATAATTGTTAAATTTACCATATTTTCTCTGTGTGTGCATACATGCATTAAGTGTATATAAAACATTTTGTAATTAATTGCAAAGAACATAACATTCTGATATCAAGTAGGTTTGTATGCACTTCTAAAGAATAAGTTCCATATAATCAAAATACCACTATCACATGTAAGATATTTATACCAGATAATAAAACAAAGGCTTATTTAAAATGATAACACACACTACTTTAAGAGAGGACGCTCCAGCCCCTGATATATGTAGTGGCGGCCTTTTCTGAAACACACGGCAAATACAGGAGGAACGCGGCATCGCGTTGTGGTCACAGATGGTTCGTTCCTGTAGGACACGGTTATTGGCAGCTCTCCAACTGCTGTCTCGCACTTAACGTGGCCACAGAGACAATGGATGCTGGACAAGAGAGCAATGACACAACTCGGCAAATGATAGGTCTGTTGTGTTACATCTTGTTTTTTATTTCTCTTTTCAATAGCTTTAAGCTTTATTCAGGTCACTTCTTTAACCCATTCTCTCCCTTTGTATTGGGAGCATTCATTTTCTGTGATTAAAAAATTTTCATAGTATTTAATCTTTTCATTTCATGTGTAGTGAAGCCCTGAAATAGTAATAGCTGGAAGAAAAATATCATTATTTCAGATAAATAGCATAAACCAGATCATACTGTCAATCATTAAAAAAATTCTAAATTTCTACGTGAAAGGTACACATGTTTGAAAGGAACTTGCATTATTCAGCTGAATTTCAATGAGAAAGTGTCCTGTTTTAGTGTTTTACTTTATCTTTGCCTTTTCTTCTCAGTTTGTGCTGAGTTGATTATATTTCTTATTTCTTAACTTCAAAATATTTTTTTGCCATTAATATTTATTTAGCTTTAATATTTTATTTTGTTTTTAAAATATGAGAAATAAGTACTTATTTTATTAATTTTCTTTTTTCTATCTCATTGTACTATCTAGACAGAATTTTATTTTAATGACTATAAAATTATCCAAAATTCATAAATTATAAAAGCATTATATGCTGTGATAGTCTTAAAACATTATTTCTTCAAGTCTATAATTACTCTAATCCTAATTACCTAATACTAAGCCTTTTTTCCTCACAATCTGTTTCAGTCCTATAAAATATGAAACGTAGTTGTTACATAATGCTCACTTTAAACATAGAAATGCCATCTTTTAAGAATGTTTCTTGTAACTGCTTAGGAATGGATACGTTTGAGTATTACCTCATCTCTAAAATGTTTGATGAAAAAAATTTCAAAAATTTTTCTCGAGGGTCACAGCAAAAATGTGACTGTGTAATGCAGATAATTAAACAGAATCTTAGTGAATAAGGATTCTACCTTATAAGGACTTAATTGATTGTCATAAGAGGCTTATATGGTAATAGATTTTATTATTTTTTATAAGCTTCAATCTAGGTCATTAAGTCTCAGCATTAATTCAGAGGGGGAAAAACAGATATTGGGAGGGAGTAGTTCAAAATCCAAGAACAGTTTGCTGTTTTCATGAATTTCTGGTCCTCTTTCTCTGTTTTAGTCCAGAGACTCATGAACCACACACTCTTAGTGGCATGAATTCATTTACACTTCTTCTGATATCCTAAGTGATAATATTGTTTGTTTGCTCAGTGATCCCTCATGGTTATTTGTGTATTAAAAACTCAAGAAGAAGGGAAACTAGAAGACAAAATTGAGAGAGCATTTTATGAAAGCCTTTGAATAGGAGGATTTGATTTTCATCAAATGATCTGCTTTCTGACTTATGACAGGAATCTACCTTTCCTACTCTTTGTTGTTAAAATTGCAAGAAGATACATTTCCTTATTTTGATCCTCTCTACTACCTTTAAAGTTATGAAATTATTTACATCTCTTTCTGTAAATTCTGCAAATTACATAGCATAACACAATGTATTTTGCAGTTGAATCTCCTTTTAAAGTCTGACCTTGGGACTTTTACCTAATTAGGTGTTATAACTAATTTTCAAAATTTATTGTATGTATTATAAGATATGATATGCTTCCAGAAATATTTTAAATTGATCATAGCTGTGGAGCAAAACTCACACTGTGAATTTGCTCTTCTGTTTTTGTTTCCATTTGGTGATCTGACATCTGAAAATATTTAGTTTGCATTGGGGAGATAGCTAGAGTGCAGTCAGCTGGGCAGAACAATTTGCTGTCATCCTATGTGATGTCATGGTCACAGTGAAGAAAAATGTTTCAAATTATCAGTAGATGACTCAACGTCCATGATGTCCAAATAAAGTCATTGAGATTGCTCTCTGGCTCTCCCCCAGTGCCGTGGTTGTAGTTACCCAAATTCGTTAGTGTGTAATTTTTGCCTTCTAAGATGCATGCATGGTCATGACCCTCACTCTCTAAGACCACATAAAAAGATGTCTGAAGAGAATTTAACATAGCCTATTACTTTGGTTTATTTATAAGAAGTTTAAAATATGGTGCTTCACTTACCTATTTTCTTCTATTCCTTAAGGTGGATATGGAGATCACGGTATGTCACAGAAACGAGGGGCCCTCTACCAGCTTATAGACCGGATAAGAAGGACTGGCTCTGGTATATCAATGTTTAAAGTTGCAGACGCTTGACTTGATGTACAGTAAATATTACACTCATAGCAGTTCAGTTTGCCATTGTGATGTGAAGTGTGTGAAGGATGTTTGCTAAGAAAGAGTCCCTTATTTCTGTTTTGTTAGTTGAGACTTGATGTAAGTTTTTTAGAACTTAATTGTGGACAATTGAAATGTTTTGTTGACTTATTTTCAGCTTCTCTTTATTTAAAATGTATGAGGTATTTATTTTATTATTGATATTTATTTCCAGTAAATTGGGTATCACACTAAGGTGCTTTTATCAAGCACTGAACTACATCAGTTTTAACCGAATGAAAAATATTGGGGCTGTTTTGAAATCAAATTCACTTAAAATAAATGGACAAGCTGATTTAATAAATCAGTTTGATCTAATAAAAGTAGCTGAAAATTTTTGACACTTCCAAAAATTAATATAAAAAACATTCAGAAAAACTGCAGTCTGGTTTTACAGTTAGTTGATATTTATAATATTAAATTTATTAACCCCTATTTGTAGATTTGAGTTGTTTTTTAAAAAGTGATGTTCAAAGTTCATAGCCTCACATCCCTTTAATTGATGGTTTGTTATTAATTATTTGAAATTACTTACATTCAAGTATTGATTTTCCTAAGTAAGTAAAGATGCTTTTCTCCAGGATATTAGAAAATATGCTGTATACTATAACTAAGACAAAATAATATTGAATATAACTGTAATTGAAAAATAAAATTAGAAAAGATGTTAGGGACATGAGCATAAGGGACATACATTCAACATTGGTTCTGTATGAAGTTTATACTAGTGGTAGGATATTTGTGTTGGCAATGATAGATGAATAAAAAAATAATTATGCAAATTTAGTAACAAAAAGTTATGAAAGGCCACCAAGAAAAGTCAATGGCTACAGATTTGAAAGATGCTCCAGAACAGACTGCATTCTATGTTGACCTTCACCTTGTGTACCGATTATGCTATGTGCCTGAGTGTGGATTCAGGGGAAGTCGGAATGGAGATGGCCCACTGTCCAGAAGGCTGAGCCCTTACCTCTCTCAGCGTTATTTCATTCACTAATTCTGTGATGTAATGTTCATAATTTTAATCCGTACTAGAGAATATCAATCCTGAAAAAAGGATTAAGGACTTGGCAGGAGCGAGAAGAGCTTTGACTGTCATGGAGTTTTTAAACAATGTGTTTTGTTCTGGTGGTGAATTTCTCAGTGACCTAGTAAAGTAGGATATTTCCGTTAACATTAACAAATTTGTCTGTGACCTACAAAGTTTGTCTGACTTCTACCTGCTGTAGGCTGTCGTAGGGAAATTCATTAGAATTTGCTTGTAGAGGATTAAGAAGTTGCATTTTGACATGATATACTTAAATATTATAATACTTTTCCAAGTACGTCGTAATATCCATGAAGCTTTTCTTTCATGCATTTTGACTTCAGGCATACTCAGACAAATATGTAAATAGGACATTTTAACGTTTGTCCTTTATGAGGTAAATGACTCCCTGACCGAGGACTTCTGTTTCACAGAATCTTTTAAATGTCGCTGCAGGCTCGGAACAAAACAACACAGTTAAGGAAAAAGTACCTCTAAAATTCTCAGGGCAAAATGAGAAAAATCGAGTTCCCAGAGCTGCTACGTCAAGAACTGACAGAATATGGCCTGGAGGCGTGATTCCTTATGTTATAGGAGGCAACTTCACTGGTAAGATATTCCCAATGTCTATTGTGATAGAAATTATTATTATTATACCAATAAAGTGTACATTTTATAGAATCTTAATCTAGAAAGCATAGTATTAAATCAAACTTGAGAAATACTTCCCTCACTTCAGTTGTTAGTTTAGAATATCTTCATATTGAAAAATATCTTTAGTCTTGAGTTCTAAGGTTCTCAAGTACAATTCTGGTTTTTAAACTGAGTTTCAAGTGTGTCCATTAAATCTGGAAGCTGATTTCTCTTCAGCCAACAGGAAGAATGTGTGTCCTGTTTACAGGACCTTGTATACACACATTTGGGTTTTTTTTAAGGTTTTATTTATTTATTTATAGACAGAAAGGAAGGGAGGAAGAGAGGGAGAGAAACATCGATGCGTGGTTGCCTCTTGCATGCCTTCCACTGGGGACCCGCTTGCAACCTAGGCATGTACCCTGACTGGGAATTGAGCCAGTGATCCTTTGGTTCACAGTCCGACACTCAATCCACTGAGCCACACCAGCAGAGGTGTACACACAGATTTGTAGAGATAGTAAGCTTGGACCTTCTGATTATGAAGTGAGTGTCCATTCTTTACAATGACAAACTGGTGGAGCTCCAGGTGGGCATTCCTTGGTGGCATCTGAGCTGCCCAGCCAGACTCCGGGTAGAGGAGTCTGTGTGCAGCACCCGCTCTGGGGCAGACGCTGTTTTATTAATGTCATGCCATTTCTCCAGGCAGCCAGCGAGCCATGTTCAAGCAGGCCATGAGGCACTGGGAAAAGCACACATGTGTGACTTTCATTGAAAGAAGTGATGAAGAGAGTTACATCGTATTCACGTACAGACCTTGTGGGTGAGTAGAACCAAGGATTGCCTCAAGTCAATTTAGAAGGTGAAAAAAACAATCCACAGGTAGCATTGATTCATTTTCTACTATGTGCTTAGTATTTTGCCCACAAGAAAGTGTGAATTTTACAAAAGGGAATACTCAGTTTTAAGTAAGTGTATTCTTTGATCACTGACCCCTGTGCATCTGTCTCAAGTGCATTCCTCCACTGCCCCAGCTTCTCTCCCTTGTGCTCTGGCTGGAAAATGGCAGTGCCTGTGCCTGGTCCCCTGAGTTAGAACCTTCAGTGCCCTCGCCTGGTGATTCTGTTGTTCTTCCTCCAAACTCCCTTCAGGACCGGATTTTAGTCGGTTTCTGTCGACATGCACTGCACCCTTTGGTTTCCACTCTGTCCTGCGGCCATGCCCTGGTCGATTCACATCTTTGTCAGCTCATGTCTGGTCTATTCCATCGCTGTCCTGTGTTGCCTCACCAATTCACTGCCACTGGGATTATCTTCGCAGAATACCAGTCACAGGAGGATGCCACACTGTTTTAGATTCTTTAGCACTGCTTCCTAGAGTATTTTCCAGATTTGTTTCTTACAGAGTGATGACAAAAACTCTCTCTAAAACAGCTCTTCTGTGATTTGTAAGAATGCTGTGTGAGATTTTGATGGATATTTCTATAGCAGCATGTTGATGAACATTATTAATATTCAACCACTTGAAAGGAATACAGAATAACAAAGTTCTCTAAGCTTATTTTTTTTAAAGGAATACCCATCTTAACCTTTTAAAAGTGGAAAACACACCCCAGTGTCCTGGGACACATTTTGGGAAATGCGAGTCTGAGAATAAACTCCAAATTCCTTGGTATAACATTTAAGGAATGCCATGAACTCACCACAAGTTTTGTCTGAAGCTGTTTCTGCCACCAGGTCTGCCCACAAACCCGACGGTCCAGCCAAGTCCCAGTAGCAGCCGCTCCCCAAGCAGTGCTATACACTGTAAAACACGTTTCACTGTAAAGACGTTTCATTGTAAAGGACGTTTTACCGTGAAAGTTATCAAACGCCTATCCCTGCGTTTTCAGTTCATTGGGAGGTGTATCTGAATATTTGTTTAAATCCGCTTGGATTTTTGTTTGCTGGTGTGCTAAGGGTATCTGACAGGGTGTGCTGTGTACACTGCATCACCAGAGGAGGCACACGAGCCTGGACCTGCCATGTTTATGGTTATGATGGACCAGTGCATTCAAGTGGTGACAGCCACGTCCTGCTATCGTAAAAGTTCCCTTCATGGCAAACTAGTGATTTTCTGAAGGGGCTCTTTTCTTTCATTCCTTCTACGCTAGTTATCTGAAATTCTTCATAAGGGGGAAATTTCTCTAATCACTTGTAGCTATTAGAGTACCTTCTATTATAGATTAATAGGGAAATTAAAACCATGTTTAATTTCTTTGGAGGACATTATCTTACCCTAATGATGTATTTTGTAGGGAAAATGTATCTCACCAGGTACAGTGCAGAGGGTTGTCATTTAGCTTCGTACCATCATAGTTTCCTAGATTGTCTAACTTCAAAGTGATGGATTTTATTCTGGTCCTGAGTGACATTAAGAAGAATTATACATTTTCCAGATATTTTTGGATAGTGCCATAATTTTTTAGTTATGACTTACTCAAGTGATTTTTTTTCTTCTAAGTTCCTCCAATTTTAGCTTGGTAAGTTTTGGTTACTTTTGAAATGCTTCCTAATTCTTGATATCTATTTAATATTTAACAGGTCCAAAGCTAGGCTGTCTTTCCTCCTGGTTAGTTACTAGAAAAGGATGTAGCTCAGCTTAGATATTTCTAAATGCATAATGTATTCAGATCAATACATCTTTTTTTTCTTGATGTGCTAATTTGTAAAAAATATATAAAAAACACTGATCACTTATTTTATTGCTTAATTTCTGTGTGTAACAAATTCATATTTATACTCATTTTCTTTTATTCTTTTGGTTCTTTTCAAAATCTTTTACTTGTTTGATCCTGCCAAACTATTTTTCCCCATTCACTGTCATTTCTTAATGTTTTTGCTTGTGATAGTTTAGTCACTTGGAATGCCTTTACTTTCCTTTTTTATCAATGGCTATCTTTCACATATTTCATTTTCAGCTATTTCTGAACTGCCCACAATGAAGCTTCGCTATGATGTTTACATTTCCGCTGCTGGCTCACCTGCTATTATTAGTGGTGAGGGCAGGTAGCTTATCTCCGTGTCCCAGGACACCCAGCAGGGGCCCAGTGTTACAGGAACTACTGACAATTTACAATGAACTCAAGCACATCATGTGTAACTCAAAGTAAAAGAATTTAAAGGAGTATTGAAGAAAATTTTGAGCAGTGGGAAAAAAGTCTTGATAGGGGTATTGCATCAAACGGAGAGTACTTTGAAGGCGACTGAACTTTAAGCATGTAAGAATAAACACATATTTTTAATAAATAAATCCCTGAGTTTGTGGCTCCCCCTCATACATTTTAGGGTGGAGAAGCAGAAAGAAATGTGAAAATAAGTGAGATGTAAAATATATTAATAAACCCTAGATTCTAGGGCAAAAAAGTCAAGCGATGTAAGTGGGATAGAGAGCATTTGTGCAAAGACTTGAACTAGATGTGGACACGAGACAATGGATGTCTGGGGAACGTAGTTCCTGGCAGGGGGAACAGGGAGTGAAAAGGAAGCTCGGGTCTGCAGGCACCAGGCACAGCAGGGCCTGCGTGGCTGCGACGGGTGAATGACGGGAACAGTAGTGAGAGATGACACCTGTGCGGTGAGACATTGGTGAGTGAAGATCCTGGAGGACCTTGCAGTTCCTTCTAAGTACTTTAGACTTTCTTCTAAGTAAGAGAAAGAGCCTATATTTGTCATCTGAGGCAATTTATAAACTTTGTTTTATAGTTAATACTGAAATAATGGATGATTGCCAGATAACCAGGCTGACAAATTAATATAATACTTTAGATAGATTGTGAGGCTAAAATTATATTAGCTATAAATGTGAGTAGATAAGTCTTGAGTTTAACTAGATGTATAATAGCATATTCACCAACACTGTAATTTATCTTCTACTCCTAAGTGATTTAAGGCATATGTCAAATATGTGAATTAGTATAAAAAAAGTACTTCAAGGGATTAGTTAGGGACTTTTGTTATAGATAAATTAACCAAGAGAGTAGAAGTTGGTCACATTGGGTAAAAGGCTGTCTGCCTCTGAATGTGTTGGACTTTATACTTCATCATAATCCTTTAGAAAAGTTTTATCATATTGTAATTCACCCAGCACTGACTATTCTACCATCACCTCCTCTGTCTACTTTATTCCAGATGCTGCTCCTATGTAGGTCGGCGGGGTAATGGACCTCAGGCAATTTCCATCGGCAAGAACTGTGATAAATTTGGAATTGTTGTTCATGAATTGGGCCATGTGATAGGCTTTTGGCATGAACACACGCGACCAGATCGAGATAACCACGTAACCATCATAAGAGAGAACATCCAGCCAGGTGAGAATTGGATTTAAGGTTGACTGAGAATCTTTTAGTTGTGTTTGTACTATTTATCTCTTAACTTCTTGAAAAATGTGAATTGATATTTTTGATATGATAAAAATCAACATTTTGCTTGATTAATAAATACCCATGGTGGTGTGATATTTTTAGCTGTTGTTTCTTCAGAATGAATGATCTTTTTTTGTTTTTTTAGGTATACATTTTTTTCTTAAGATTTTGATCTTTTATTTCTAAACTTCTATGTTTTCTAAGAATGGGTATCGGCTGTTGGACCATAAATCAATATTATTAAATATTTTAAAGCATTTTCTATAATTAGCTTTATAATTTCTGCTATAAGGATTTAGAAAGAATCCAGGGGTTACAATCAAACATGCTGCTACCAGAGGAATCTATATTGTACCAGAGACAACTTCAGGAGAAAATGAGACATTTCCAGGGACAACTTCCAGGGAAATGAGTCATTCCAAGGTGGTCTAAATAGTTTCCTTTTCTCTGCAACCTTACTACCCTAAAGACCAATTTTTAAGAATGTTTTCAGCAGTTGAATATAGTATATAATCAAAACATCAATATAGTATAATCAACAAATCAATATAGTATAAATTCATAAACATCAGTACATTTCAATTTTCAAAAGAAAACTCTTAGGGTTGCAATTTTCTTACAAGGTAGTATGTATTTCAAGTCTAAGCAAAGTAAAAGTGTGTCTTTATTTCCTTATTTGTGGCCAGTTTCAAGTTATAACCATTAAATTCCTTAGAATTTCCAGTTATTAACAGTTAATTGATCTATTTATCTATACACTATATTTTTGGTGACAGTTATTTCTTGAGGCAGTATTAGACATTAGAAATACTGTGATGAAAAATACAAAGCTTAGTGTATATGTACATACATACAAGTGATTGCGAGTGAGCAAAGTACCAGTGGTCGTATGTTGAGACATGTGACATATGTGACCAAAAATGTACCTTGGGAGGGTTGAGGGAGATGTCACAAACGAATGGAAGCTTAGAAGTAAAGACGTGTTCTAAGTGCCCAAAAGAATGACGGAATTTCTAAGCTGAAAAACACCATCATGATTGAAGATGTAAATACAGAAAATGGAATTGTTTTTATTTGCCCATTGTGGCTGCATGGTAAGTTATAAGTGGGGAATTAGCTGGTAACTATCTAGGGAAGTTAGATCATAGGGGATCTCCTATGTGAAGCTAGGGGAATTAGATTTTATACTTTTAGCTCTTGGAGAATAATTAGAACATTGAAAGCAGATTGAGTTCAGATTTTAGAAAATAATTCTTTCATTTTGGGGATTATTAACTCAGAATGGGAAAGTGGGTGGTGGGAAAGGTGAACCCAAAGCCAGGAAACTCATTAAAAATGTAAACAAGCAGACTACGAGATGACCAAGTCCTCAGTTAAGGTAGCACAGGTCAAGAGAAGCAAGAGGGAATAACCTTTCAAAAATATTTGAAGAGGAACATCATGTGAGGCAATATTTTTGAGAGGAAGAAAGAAAAACAGTGCTTTCATTTAGCATATCGTTGAGTTTGAGAAGCCTTTGGGTGATCCAAATTGAGATGCTTGGCAGACAAAGGGAAGGTGAGTCTAACTTTAGGCTATATGTGGATAGCAATTTGATAGGGAATTGGACTGTGTAGGGAAATGATGGAGGGAGAAGGAAATGATTGAGGTTAGAAAATGAGGAATACCAATATTTAAAACATTCTGTAGAAAATTCCCAAGACTAAGAAAGCTTGGTTTAAGACTCAGAAAAATTAATGAATGTGATCCCTCAAAGAAGAGATCGTTTCAAGAATGATGAAATAATCTGTAGTGTTGAATATCAAAGAGAAGTAAAGACAATGTATTCTCCCAAAATAAAAGGCTAATGTGTGAGCCAGTTGTTCATTTTATACTTTATATCATTAGGAGAGAAATAAAGAGGGTATAATATTTCTGAAAATTATCAATTAAATTAGAAGTTTTCTGTTAACCATATTTACTGAGTTTCTACTATTATGTAGACAAAACTTTAAAGGAAATAACTTTCACTCTTAAAAAAGTGAAAGTTATTTCTTAAAATAGGACTTTGGTTAAACATAATATTTTATGTACCTAAAACAGGCAAGAAATGTATGAATAGTATATGGGTATAACTATCTAATACTTAACACAGTGTTAAGCAAATTATGGCTATTTATAAGTTTTATTGACTCTACATTTAGGCCAATTGAAAAAATAATGTATTGAGTGGTATTTCCTGCGTATTCAGAACTATTATAGCAGTGCAATGCTAGTTTGTAAGAACAACAAGTTTATGACTTGCTTTGGCTCAGAAAGTTTGGACCAAGTGTTGTTCAAGGGCGATGTCTAGTAAGTGCAGACTTTAGCTTCTGATTTATATGCAAAATTAGTGGCTACGAGAGGAGCCACATTGGTCGAAGGATTTGAATGACCTTAACGCATTTTAGACTATGCCTTTGAGAAGGAGGCTCTTTTGAAGCATATTCTTCTTCATCGGAAATGCTCTTCAGCTATCAGAGAGATGCAAATTAAAACCACAATGAGATACCACTTTACACCAGTCAGGATGGCCATCATAAACAAAGCAACAAACAACAAATGTTGGAGAGGTTGTGGGGAAAAGGGGACCTTAGTTCACTGTTGGTGGAATTGCAGACTGGTACAACCATTATGGAAAACAGTATGGAATTTTCTCAGAAAACTCAAAATGAATATGCCTTTTGACCCAGCAATTCCACTGCTAGGAGTATATCCTAAGAACCCTGAAACACCAATCCAAAAGAACCTATGCACCACAATGTTCATAGCAGCACAATTTACAATAGCCAAGAGTTGGAAGCAAGCTAGGTGCCCATCAGTAAATGAATGGATCAAAGAACTATGGTACATTTACACAATGGAATTCTAGGCAGCAGAAAGAAAGGAGCTCCTACCCTTTGCAACAGTGTGGATGGAACTGGAAAGCATTATGCCAAGTAAAATAACCCAGGCGATGAAAGACAAATACCGTATGATCTCACTTTTAACAGGAACCTAAACAACAAAACAAACAAGCAAGCAAAATATAACCAAAGACACTGAAATACAGAACAGGCAGACAGGGACCAGAGGGGAGAGGGGAAGGAATTTCAAGGGAAAAGGGGAAGGATTCACAGGAACAAGTATAAAGGACACATGGACAACAACTAAAAGGGGTGGAAATGGGAGGGAGGTGGGGAGCACAGGTGGGGAGGGATGGGTGGGTGAGCTGGGATGGGAGTAAAAGACAGAAAACTGTACTTGAACAATAATTAAATAAAAATTTTTAAAAAGTAAATAAGAATTATCTTCCAACTGAAAAAAATGTTCTCCAGTTAAAGCTTGGAGTGAATTCATCAAAGAGATTCTCATTTAAGTTTTGAATGAAATTCGTTGCTGTTGTTTTGCTTTTAGTGACAAAATCACATTGCTAAAGTCTGCTGTGTTGTATATACTTACAAATATTTTTTTTATTTTTTCATTTTGTAGAAAAAGAATATAAAGCAAATAGGAAGATCATGTTTTGTCAGTCTTGGCAAATGTAGTCATAAATAGAAGGTGGGAAACTCATTTAGTAAAATGTAACTTTTTATAATCTTTTCTACAGTACTGAAAAAAAACCCATAAGATCTTAAAGAAATAAATATGAGAACAGAAAAAGAGTATTCATCAAAAAAAAAAAAGCCAGACCCAAAGTAAGCTTTTGGTAATCCACCCTTTTGCCAAAATTAACTTGTTAATGAAATTCAGTATTACACTTTCAGTGTGGTGTAACAGAACACAGTGGCACTGTGTGGGTACTTTTACATGATGTGGATGTCAGTATATAATTACAGTGTGCACGCAAATTAGCCATCTAGTAACGAGAAGGTACAGGCATAGGAACAGGTCTTCTTTTCTCTCCTCTGACTGTTAGAAGGCCTCTGAAATGTTGTTTGTGCCTGATTCTTAGGTCAAGAGTATAATTTTCTGAAGATGGAGCCTGGAGAAGTGAACTCGCTGGGAGAAAGATATGACTTTGACAGTATCATGCACTATGCCAGGAACACCTTCTCAAGGTTGGAGTCTCAGGTTATACCTTTTGACTTTTAATTCTTTTCCTCTGTGGGGCTTCTCACAAAGCTGTCTGTCATTAGCACTGGAAGCATTCTCAGATATTGCTGCCATGAAGCACGAAAGTGCTTGATTGGTATTTTTAGCTAACACTCGGCATTTGAGATTTTAAAAACATATTTTTAATATTTCCTATCAAATATATAAATTCAAAGTAAAAATTAAAATGAAGTATTCAAACTATTTTATATTGCTAAGTCATAAGCAAATTTAGTTAAAATGATCAAACCAATCAGCATGTAAAATTGGTAAATTATTATTTAGTGAAAATTAGGCATTTGCAAATCAAACAGGGTCTTCGTTCTTGGGTTAGAAGGTCATACTCTCTATCATACTCTCTATGGGACTTATATTTTCAGTTGCTCAAGGAGTAGTTGTACTCAAAAATTGCAGTACTGATTTAATTCTCAAAGAACATGTTGGGGAGATATTTTACTTTATATAATTTAGAATTTCATCATTTATCAAGTTTAAAATCATGTTATTAATTAGTGAATGCTATTTTTAAAAAATGTAATAAATGTGGGTTTTGATTACTTCATTCTAAAGATGATGTCATCAAGCAAATAGTTCTCAGGTAAGGAATTTAGAACCATTGAGGTCCATCCCCTGTCTTTCCCATTTCATGCCCATTTCACACTCAGGTGTCCATTTCAACTCACCCTTTTGGCCCACACTTGCGCTCTTTCACAATGTACCTACATCTGTTTCTAAAGGCTGGGTCAGGAAGGAGATTTAAAAATTCAAATTAATTCTCATTTTGTTAAAAAGAAAATTCTTGGGGAAGAGTAAAGTAGGATATGTAAATAAACTCTTAATGCTGGGGTACATTTTAGATTATGCTTTTTTGAAAAGACCAATTTTTGTTATTATAAAAATTGAATATTAGTAATATTTAAAAATATCTTCAAAGTATATATAGATACACGTATGTGAATATATTCATATATTCAAACATAATAAGTATCTAAATGTTTATTGTTTCTGGAATTGAATTTAGGTTTTGGTAGAAATATACCCATAATTTGGCCTGAAATTACTCTTTGTAAAACTTTATGTCCAGGCCATTGCTTGAAATTGAATTTTTTGTGGAAACATGTAACAAACAGGGATTTGGTCCCAGGTCAGCAAGGGGCGCATCTCATATGCTGCTAAAGTATGTTGCTTAGAACTAACCTGAATTGTTAGTCTTTGCAACATACGCGATACCAAAAAAGTGGAGAAAATATTTATATTTTCTATTTTTGATAGAGATGATAAATCTGTACCAAAATTCAAAACATATTTTGCCGTATCCCATATCCCTTTTACATGTCTAAATTGTCCATTTTTCCTTTCATAAACCTTTCTGCTCTTGCCGCCTGCAGTCCACTAGCTGAGCACAGCCCCTCCATCTCCACCACCACCTCGGTTACTGCGTGCCGGTCAGCCTGGACCTCGTACATTTTCTCATTGCTTTAAAATTATCCTCTTCGGGTTTCCTAATAAACTTGTATGTCTGTAGTGGAAGTAACAATATCTGCCTGTCAGCAAAATTGATCCAGTTAACACTATTTCATTGTTTTGGTTTTTAAAGATGATATTTATTAATTTATACATAGGGTTAAATCACTGAATTCAGGAGGTGAAAAATTAGCCAAGTTCTCAGCCTCCACCTCCAAAATATTTCAAGCCTCTCTCTCTCTCTCTCAATCTCTCTAGTAAAAAGCACACAATATAATATTTACCACCTTAACCGTTTTTTGTTTTGTTTTGTTTTTAAATTTTTATTGATTATGCTGTTACAGTTGTTCTATTCCCCCCTTCATTCCCCTCCACCCTACCCCCCGTCCCCACCATTACCCCCCCTTTACTTTATGACCATGTGTCTCAAGTCCTTTAGATTCTATATTTCCCATGCTATTCTTGCCCCCCATCTAGTTATATGTACCATTCAGTATGTTCACGGTGTTATGAAATGGATCTCCAGAACTTCTTTGTCTTGCAAAGTGGAGACCTTATGCCCATTCAACAACCACTCATCTTCTTTTCCCTGTAGCCCCTGATACCCATTATTCCATTTTTCTTTTTAATGAATTTGGCTACTTTATACACCTCATTAGGTGTAGTAACACAACATTTGTCTTTTTGTAACTGACCTATTTCACATAGCACAGTGTCCTTAAGGTCCATTCATGTAGCAGCATGAGACAGGGTTTTCTCCCTTTTTAAGGCTGAATATTTGATTGTTTGCCTACACCACATTCTGTTTAATTACTTTAAAAATTTTTTTGTTAATTTAAAGTCCTGTGTGATTTCATATGTATTTAGGACTGTATCTTTCTATTTCTGTGATAAATGCCTTTGGGATTTTGATTGGGATTGTGTTGAATCTGTAGATCATTTTAAGTAGTGTGGACATTTTCACAAATTAAATCATCCCATCCGTAAACATGGAATGTCTTTCCATTTATTTGTGTCTTCTTTAGTTTCTTTTAGCAGTGTTTTATAGTTTTTAGTGTACAAGTCTTCACTCCTTGGTTAGGTGTATTCCTAAGTATTTTATTATTTTTGATGTTAGTTTATTTAATTTTTAAAATATTTTATTTGTGTATTTTTAGAGAGAGGGTAAGGGAGGGAAGAAGAGGGAGAGAAACATCTATCAGTTGCTTCTCATACACCTCGAACCGGAGTCCTGGCCTGCAACCCTAGCATGTGCCCTGAGTGGGAATTGAATTGGCGACCTTTCAGTTCGTGGGACGATGCCCAATCCACTGAGCCACACTAGTCAAGGCTGTTTCTGGTGTTATTTTAAATTTCCTTTTCAGATTGGTCATTGTTACTATGTAGAAATGCAACTGATTTTTGTGTGTTGATTTTGAATCCTGAAACTTTAATTTGCTTATTAGATCTGACAGCTTTTTTGTGTGCTCTTTAATGTTTTTTACATATAAAATCATGTGATCGACAAAGATAATTTTACTTCTTTCCAGTTGGATGCCTTTTTCTTCTTTTTCTTGCCTAATTGTTCTGGCTAAGCCTTCCACTGCTCTTTGACTAGAAGTGGTGAGAGCAAGCAGTCTTGCCTTATTCCTGATCTTAAATGAAAAGCTTTCCTTTTTTCACCATTAAATATGATGTTAACCGTAGGTTTTCATATTAGTCTTTATGATGTTGTGGTAGCTTCCTTCTGTTCCCAGTTTGTTGAGTTTTTTTATCATGAAATTGTTTTGACTATTGTCACATGCTTTTTCCTCATTGTACCTGCCACTATCTGAGTTATCATTTTTTTGTTTAATGTTTTTGCTGCCCCCCCATTAGAAATGTATCATAAGGGGAGGAATTTTTGTGCCTTTCATATACTGCTATATATCCAGACCTATAACAGTTCTTAGTAAATATTTCCTAAAGAAAGAAACAGGTGGAACTGAAAATGTTATTCTTTTTAAATTGACTTTATTGGGGTGACATTGGTCAATAAAATTATATAGGTTGCAGGTGCACAGTTCTGTAATACACCATCTGTATATTGTATTGTGTGTTCACCACTCCAAGTCAAGTTTCCTTCCATCACCATTTATCCCCCTATACCCTCTATTACCTCCCCCCACTCCCCTCTCCCTTTGTTAATCGCCATACTGTTGTTTGTGTCTGTGGGTTTTTGGTTTTGGTTTTGGTTTTGCCTAGCCCCTTCGCCTTTTCCACCCAGCCCTGGAACCCCACTCGCCCGTGGGGTTCAGTGGTGCAGTCTTCTTGATTACCAGCACTGGGTGCCCCAGGAATGTCCCTTATGTGGATTATGTGGGCCTTCCTGTTGTAACTGAGTCTTGATTGCTGTTGGCTTGTTCATGCATGGGGTCAACCCTCAGGCTCAACGCTGACCATAGCGTGCTGTGCAGGTGCTGAGCACATGAAGGGGAATTTGCCTCAGCAGGGTCTGGTGCCTTGGGAGACGTCCTTTCAAATATACCGCTGGTAAAGCTTATTTGGTTCTGCTCTGATGCTGCCTGCAGCTGGCCACAGGGTGTGTTGACTCTGGGCCTCTTGGGCAGAACTCAGATGCAGGGCAACGCCAGACACTGCGTATGACTGGCTCTGGGCAACCTCTTTGGAGCAGTCTTGATGTGACTTCTGTAAATCTTTGGTTATAAGACTTCTCCTCAGCTAGTTTTCAGTTGGTCATTGAGGACGATTATCCTATAATTTAGTTGTAATTTCAATTTGGTCCTGGAAGGAGGTAAGTATAGCTTCCACCCACTCCACTGCCATCATTTGAAATGTCCTTTTAACCTAAAGTTTAAATGTCACTTCTTTATTTAAAAATTGTACAAAGGAGTGTCTCTCATTCATCTCAGTTTAAGAGATATTTTTTAAATTGCATTTTTATGTAGAAAATTTCTCTTTAATGCATACTTCATTCTTCTCACTATTCTCACTTGGAATAGTCTCCCATTCCATCTGCTTTCCTTAGAGCTACAAATGTTGGTATTTATTATGAAATTAGACTATATTTTTGGTACAGTATATTCAGAAATTTTAATCAAGTGCATTAACCAAAATTGTGAGTTTCTATTAGAACCTTGGGTACGAATAAGTCAGTATCTGTACCTTATCATTATTGGGGAATCACTTAGTTATTTGATTATTAATTTTACCATGAAAATTGTATGTTCTGTGTATGTGTATGTATGTATGTATATCACAAAACTATTTTGTTTTAAATTCTCCTATCTAAAATTTGATGCTTTATTTTTCCTTGTTCTTTAACATACACTATAATACTTGGAAGAAGAATTCTTAGAAGACTACTAAGGTTAAATTAGTGTTTAACTTAAAAAAGTAACCTATATACACATGTACATGCATATCTCATTTTCCCTTTTACAGTTCTAATAACTCCAAAAATATTTATTGTAGGCTGTTCTTAAGAAAATGTGTCTCTATGAGGAAGACTTGTTTTACAACTGGCAGTCTAAGGGGTTCTTAGATTTGTTTGAAAGACCAAAGCAAAAGCCATGTATGCTCTGTGGGGACCATATAATATTCTAATGTTCAGAAATCGTACAGTATAGGCATCTAAGGAAAAAGTGGATATCATCACTGACTTTAGGCTAGGCAAACATATGTAGTGCACAGTATTTTTCTACTTTGATGGAAGTGTTTTGAAAGTCTTAACACCATTGAAAGCTCAGTTTGAATATATTTTCCCTTTGAATGACTTGAGTTTGGAAAAAAAACCTATTACTTGTTAGGAGTAAATGTGCCTCAATTGGGTGACTTATGTGTGGCTTGCTTCTGATTTTTTTCAGGGGGATGTTCCTGGACACTATTCTCCCTTCTCGTGATGACAATGGCATACGCCCTGCAATCGGTCAGCGAACGCGTTTAAGCAAAGGAGATATTGCACAGGCAAGAAAGCTGTATAGATGTCCAGGTATTGCACCATAAAAACACGGAGCGTGACTGTGCCAGAGGGCACTCTTCCAGATGAATAAGCCACGATTCACTCAACTGTTTACTCATTTCTTTCCATGCTGGCAAGCCATGTGTTCAGTTCAAAGTCAGTAATCATAAAATGAAATAGGAGAGAACCCTGGAACACCCACTGATATAATTAAAAACAAATTATTAGAAATCAAATTTTAAGCACAAGGATAGCAGGTTTTATTTTTTTCAATTTAAGGAGTAAAAGCAAAAAGTATGTTTGTCTCATAGCAGTTATTAAATAGTTGCATGATTTCATAGTTGAACACTGCATTTCCTTGCCCACGTAAAAAGAATATCCTTTATTTAAACTTTAGAATCAAGTCCTGAATGATCTTTTCTTGCAAGTACCATCATTAACTGCATATAAATTAAAATGTTATTATTGGAATTGATAACTTAGTTGCAAAAAATAAGTTTTAACCATGTTGCTAGTGAGCTACTGTGAGGTCTTAGTAAGAAAGTTCTAAGGGAATGTAATGCCTTCCTGGTCCAAGAAAAGAAAGAGTGTCCTTCCAATTTGGAAAGCTGTGTACTCTATTTACCTACTGTACACTCAAAACCCTTTGAAATGTCTTATATCAAAGGAGCATGTTTAACTTTACTTAACACAGCTTTTCCCAATTTTTGTCCCTGTATGTATGTAAAATACACATACATATGTGGTACTTTTTTTTTTTGGTAAATCTAAATTTCCACAAGACACATGAATGTATAAGCCAACGCCACCACTGTGACAAAAGACATGGGTGATCCTTGGCTAATTTCTGGCAGTACTGAATAAATTATGCTTTTTAAATTTTCAAATAGAAAATTTTAGGAAATATTAGGTGATTAATTGCAACTAGATAAATGGATAGTTCTCATATAAAAACTATTTTGATCACTCTCTAAATATATGCATGTACATTATATTTAAAGAGCACATTTGAGGTGCAAAATTTGCACACTGAACTGTCACAAAGTCAGTCAGTAGGAATCAAAAAGTAATCATACACATGGCATTTATTTTCAGCCTATGACTCTTGAATATTTTAGTTATTAAGAGGAAAAAATTAGTAAACATAGTTTTCACTTGAGACTAATTATGAAAATGGATAAATGGACTATTTTCTTACTTAAAATATAATAATATTTCATTGCTTTGTTTTATATGACAAAACCACATTCATTCAGGCCATTGAGAGTGATGTGTTTCAGAGCAGTATAAAACACAGGCCACTGTACTGCAGCTTATACAATTGCATGGAGTAAGGGAGAACTAAAAGATAGAAATATATATTTTTTAAAAAGATGTGTTAACTTTCAGTTCCCGAAGTCTTTGAGAATGACTTGGACTGCATTTTTATTGTTTTATTTAAATATAGCTGGTATTCAATAGTTTCAGGTGCACAATCTAGTGATTCAACATTTTTGTACGTCACAATGTGATCATCCCATTAATTCCAGTAATCATCTGTCCTTAGTGCTCACCAGTCAACTCCCTCTCTTACTTTTTCTTACTTTCCCTCTTTCTGTTCCTTGTTCCCATAAGACACTGTAACCCCTCCCCCCTTTCTCTGTCTGTCTCTCTCTGGCTGTTTGTTAGTTCTGAGCCCTTTTTACGGTTATGTATTTAAGGTTCTTCATTCCCTCATAACGGGAACACTAACGATATTGTTAAAAACATACTTGTTTTGGCAAAATACAGCTGAGCTACACTGGTGCAGTAGGTTTAACAGTAACTCCAAGTACATCAATGGAATAGTGGTAAAGATCCATGATGAATACATTGATGTCTAAATAGGATGTCTTATCTGAGAATCACCTAAGAAGAAAGCAAGAATTTATAAGGTGATTAACTACACTGAAACTCAGTTTTATTGTCTGTAAAGTGGGAATAATAGCACCTATATACCAGAGTTGTTAAAAGGATTAAATAATCTATTACATACACAGGACTTAATTCATCGCTTGGCAAGTAGTAATTACTTTTAAAAGGGCATTTATGGTAAATATCATGCATTCCTCAATGGAGTGCTTTTTGTGTTCTCTCTGTATTTTCTGCTGCTTGAGGGTGAGGCTTTGGGGATGCAGACACTGAGGGATGAGATAACATAGGGACCTCAGTACAGAAAAAAGAAGAATTTATAAGTTGACATCTGGTTATGCCAGGTTTTATTACAGAGAGGAGCAGTTATAAAACTGCATACTTCTTTGGAGTTTGTCTTACTGCTTTGTTAGAAATTGTTGATGAATAGTCAATAAGAGGTATTTGGCTACTTTCTACTCCAACTTTTTTACTCTGTATCAGGTTATGCTCAAAGCTCTGTTATTTCTGCATTTTACAGAGATGTCCTTAGAGTTTAATCTTGAAAGGAGTACCGGCCTTGTTCACACATAGATATCCAAGGCTGTGGCTTTTATGGCCTCAGATAAGCGGGGTACCGGGTCCAAGAGGGCAAGTGTTTAATAGGCAGGTTGCGAATACTGTTGCTTCTCCTTCAATAATAGAGAAAATGTATTTCTGTCTATCAGAAGATGAACAACATTAAAAATGTGTATATTTTTAATTCCCTTAAAACAACACTTAAACACTTATTTTTGTGGGACTTTCTAACTGATAAATACTTGTAATTCACTACTATATTTATCTATTTATTTATGCCAAAAATATAAGTTAGATTGGTATCTGAAACATTAGTTACTTATTCTATTTCTGTGCGTACTTGTCATGAAGAAGCTTCATACAGGAATATAGTGGTGTTTTTAAGATGCAATGAAGATAAGTTTTAGTGCAGGATTGTTTTCGTTGCCACTGCTTGCTCTTACTTTTAGAAGCAGGCAAGAAAGTCTCCTGTGCATTGCTACTTGAAGAAGGATTCTGGTCCTTTATAGTCTTGGCACTCTCCTGATAGAAGAGGCAGTCATCCATTGCCAGACCACATAGGCCCATGAAGGAAAAGGGAGGGAAAGGTAGAGCTGCTCAGCACTGGAAGTGAATAGCCTCTGCTGCCCAAAGGCTAATCCCATGTCCTTGACAGATTCCAGCCCTGTCTAGAATTAAGACATCTTAATGGACATCAGCTAATGCTACTTGCCTGTCATAATCTCTTGCATCCGACATACTTTGTAGGATGATTAAATCACTTTTAATCACTTTTTTGTCAGGACAAAAAGTGTCCACACAGGGTGGAGAATGAGTCATCTTTACAGTTATTCATCCTCCTTTTATCCCAATAATTTGCATTTTGCTTGTGAAGCAGAAACTCTCTAGGGCATATGAGTTATAGTGTATCTTCTTTTCTTCACAAATGATTAATTTGTTCTCTTTCTTTGCTGGGGGAGGCTTCTTCTTCTTGGGATCACTTCATTTTTTTTATTTCTAAGTTGCTTAATTTAATTCTTCTCTTGATATAATCACAGGTCTGTATTTGCATGTTTTTCTTAATTTTGTTTTTCTGTAGCCCAGTGATCTTATTGCTTGTAACTAGTTAGCACTTATATCAATTATCAACCCTAATATTCTGTCAGTAATTCTTAATTAAATATGTAAAGTAACAGTGACATTAGGAATGTAAAATAAATTGATACCTTAAAATAAAGGGGCTTCTGAGGATATCTTCCTTTTATATGTGTTTTGTGTTCATTTTGTGAACAGTAAAAAGTAAAGGTCTAAGTTCATTTTTTTGGATGTGCATACCTAGTTACCCCAACACCATCTGTTGAAGAGACTATCTTTTCTCCATTCTGTAGTCTTGGCATCCTTGTTGAATATCATTTTATTGTATGTGCTTGGGTTTATTTCAACTCTTTATTCTGACCCATTGGTCTGTATGTTTATCTTATGCCAATACTGATAGACATGCTGTTTTGATTACCATAGATTTGTAATATGTTTTGAAGTCAAGAAGTATGAAGCTTCCAGTTTTGATCTTCTTTCTCAAGTTTGTTTTGGCCATTCAGAGTTTGTGGTTCTATATGAATTTTAAGGTTTTTTTCTGTTATTTTTTTTTGCAAAAAAAAAAGCCATTGGGACTTCGATAGGGATTGCATTGAATCTTTAGATCACATTGGGTAGTATGGAAATTTTAGCAATACTAGGTCTTCCTTTCTATGAAGACAGGATTTATTTCCGCTGCTTTGTTTTCTTTCTTTTAGTGATGTTTTGTGGTTTTCTTCCATTTTTTTAGCAACATTTTGTAGTTTTTAGTGTACAAATCTTTTGCCTCACTGGTTGTTATTCCTAAATATTTTATTCTTCTTGGCGCTATTATAAATGGGATTCTTTTCTTTATTTCCTTTTCAGATGATTTGTTGTTAGTGTATGGAAATGCAACCGATTTTTTCATGTGTTGATATTCTATCCTGCAGTTTCGCTGAATTTGTTAATTCCAACAATTTTTTTATGTGTATGTGTGGAACCTTAATTGTTTTATACATATAAGATTCTGTCATTTGCCTAAAGAGCTAGAACTGTAACTTCTCAACTATGTTCTGTTTTAATTTCAATTAGTACAGTGATAATACTTCATTTATATATTTCTTAAAGACTTTTTCCCTGAATATGACTATGTTTTATAATTCAAAGACACATTCTAACAATTAAGACTGCATTTTCCTATCTGTGGACAAGGTACATAGGAAGAAAATTTAGGCCATTATAATATTTGACCCCTTGCAAAGCAACTCTATGAAGTCCCTCTCAGCAAGATTGTCGCTTTGCAGAAGAGAAAACTGAAGTTGAAAATTATGAGTCTTACTTGTGTGATATAATACATAATAATGCCATAAAAGTTTTCTCATTCATATACCTTGCAGAGTATATGGACAGACTGTGCATTTTAGTTATCATTGGCACAGTTTCCCTTGCTAATTTTACTTCAATTCTTTAATAATAAATTTCTCTTTTTTACATTTGAGCATTTATCTACAAATAGCTGGGAAGACTGATGAAAATCTTCTGTAGTAGAAGTTGAGTAGCCTGAGACAACCACTCTTATTGAGGACACTGGACAAATAATTGCCACAATTTGACTTTTGTTGCTTGTACTTCTTAATTATAAGCAGGTGCTGTATATTTATGAAATTTTTGAATTTATATGCTGTATTCTTGTTTTCATTTATAGTCCCTTGTTTTCTATTATATCATTATCGTTATATTTTTTGATTAAATATATTTCTTTTTTCTTAGTTATACTTTAGGAAGTACAGTACCAGTATTCTATGTGGCTTAGTAGAGTTTTTGGTCACTGCAGAATTTATATTTAAACAGCTGTGAATTATAGTTCTTTTCACTGAAGCACACTCAACTTCAAAATGACTGTCTAGTGTCTAAACTAACTTTAGTATGATACAGGTTGATTGCATTAATAAATTTTAACAAATTTTAACTCTTCTGAGGGTTCTTATAATATTATATTTGTCCAGGCCTATAGATGCCTTATGAAAAATGTTGAATTACATATTTTTGACCATGAGCGTTTTTGCTTTGTTCTAAAGTTTCTTTTATCTGTCTATTCATTAGAGAAACCTTGTTTACTCTTTACTTTAAATTAATTTTGTTGTGTAAATATAACAAAATAAATTTAAAGTGTTTGTAAATAAATATTTATACTGTATCAGACTGTTTTATAGCTCTATTCTGTGTTTTCAAAGTCATCATCTTTCTTCATATAAGATATGCAGAGCCATTTATAACTTATTGAGGATTTAGTGAGACAAGAGTTTGCTTGCTGGTAGCTATGGCTCTGTAATATGGTAATATCTCAGTTTTGATTTGAGTCACCTTGAGAGGGACAGAACTGTTCTTTCAAATTGTTGAGTAAAAGTTTAAACATGCCTGGCAGTTTTTGAATGAAGGATACTTAAAGCATCCTAGCTCATACCATTGTAGAATGGCTCTGACCACTAGCCTTGGCTGAACCAATGAAGTAATTACTCTCTGCTTTTACTTTTGCTGAACTAGAGATACCAATCACACTGATCTGAAGGCTGTGGAGGTGATAATTTGCTATTTCAGATGACTGGTAATTACTTCCAAGAAATTAGACAGGCTTAGTAAGAGAAAAACGTAATTGATTTTCCAGCAATTTGTACTTATGATCAAGAGAAAAGAGAGAATAAATAAACATCTATATCCTGTTGGAAAATTTGAGTCTTCCCATGATTTTTTAAAATTTTATTTTAATTGTTGTTTAAGTACAGTTTACTGTCTTTTACTCCCATCCCAGCTCACCCACCCATCCCTCCCCACCTTTTGCCCACTTCCAAGCCCCCTAGTTTTTGTCCACATGTCCTTTATATTTGTTCCTGTAAACCCTACCCCCTGTCCCCTGAAATTCTCCTGGAATTCCCCTGAAATTCCCTCCCCTCTGCCCTCTGGTCACTGTCAGCCTGTTCTCTGTTTCAGTGTCTTTGGTTATATTTTGCTTATTTGTTTTATTGTTTAGGTTTCTGTTAAAGGTGAGATCACATGGTATTTGTCTTTCACTGCCTGGCTTATTTCACTTAACATAATGCTTTCCAGTTCCATCCATGCTGTTGCAGAGGGTAGGAGCTCATTCTTTCTTTCTGCTGCATAGAATTCCATTGTGTAAATGTACCATAGTTTTTTGATCCATTCATTTACTGATGGGCACCTAGGTTGCTTCCAACTCTTGGCTATTGTAAATTGTGCTGCTATGAACACTGGGGTGCATAGGTTCTTTTGGATTGGTCTTTCAGGGTTTTTATGATATACTCCTAGCAGTGGGATTGCTGGGCCAAAGGCAGATCCATTTTTAGTTTTCTGAGAAAATTCCATACTGTTTTCCATGGTGGTTGTATCAGTCTGCAATGCCACCAACAGTGCACTAGGGTTCCCTTCTCTCCACAACCTCTCCAACACTTGTTGTTTGTTGCTATGTTTATGATGGCCACTGTCACTGGTGTAAAGTGGTATCTCATTGTGTTTTTTTAAAAATATTTTATTATTTATTTATCTTTAGAGGGGAAGTGGGGAAAGGAGAGAGGGAGAGAAACATCAATGTATGGTTGCCTTTTATGCGTCCCCTGCTGGGAACTGGCCTGCAGGGAACCGGCCTGCAACCCAGGCATGTGCCCTGACTGGGAATCGAACCGCGATCGTGTGGTTCGTAGGCCCGCGCTCAATCCACTGAGCTACACCAGCCAGGGCTCATTGTGGTTTTAATTTGCATCCCTCTGATAGTTAGTGATATTGATCATCTTTTCATGTGTCTCTGGATCCTCTCTGTGTCCTCCTTGGAGAAGTGTCTGTTCCAGTCCTTTGCCCTTCCATGATGTTTTTACCTTTCCGTTTTCATAGGGCTTATTTGGAAAAAAATTTACATTGTGATGACATTTTGGAACCATTCTTACTGGTTATTTATTGATTACTATTTAAGATTTACTTTCCCAACTTTGATATGGAATTTATTTTTGAGCTTAGCCTCAGTTTACATAGAATATGTTGATAGAATGTTTCCTGTGGTCCCAAGAGCTACATCAACTAGGTATCACTGGCCTGACCAAAATATGGGTCACTTACAACTTGGCTACTAGCTCCTTGGGAATGAATGGCAAAGGTTTCCATGAGGAGGAACTTTATGCCTGCAAGATTATTTATATCCTAATATTGTTGTATAGGTAGCTCTAGTGATCTCATTAAGTATAGTGAAATTCTGGTAAGAGAGACATAAAAATAAATCCCTTAGGAAGGAAAAGTCTATTATAAAATACAAATACATATTCTGGTCTAACACCAAAAGATTCAAGGTTTTAATTATGATACCCATGCCTTTCGTAAAATTAAAGAATAATCTTCTCCGTTTTAGGACACATGGATATCATCTTTTTAAAAAATCAAATATATGTTTTTTTATCATTTTTCTTCCAGCGTGTGGAGAAACCCTACAAGAATCCAACGGCAACCTTTCCTCTCCAGGATTTCCAAACGGCTACCCTTCTTACACACACTGCATCTGGAGAGTGTCTGTGACCCCCGGAGAGAAGGTAGTTCATTACAGCAAGAGTTCTCGCTCACTCTCATCTAAGTACAGAGGTTCATTTTTCTAATATAAGTGGCTTTATGTTTTATTATTGTTGGACTCATTAAATAAGAGGCTAAATATTTCAGAAAATGTATAGTGAATTTTAAAAGATTAATCTATTCTACAAAAACATACAGAATGGCCAGAGTAAAAGCAAAAAGGCTTATTTGTTAATTTCTTTATTAAATTATGCTCATTAAGGAGGAGTAAAACATGCTGTAAAATGCCACTAAATTTGTCTCTCTGAAGTTAATCACATGAATTATTATCTAAAACATCATGGCACCCTTTTGACAAACATTGGAGAACTATGTTTTCAGCATACTGGGGAATTTTTTTTAATTGGGAAATTTAATAAGTAGGTTAAAAGTCATAAGCATGAAAAATCTAATGTTTAAAATTCATATGTTAGAGATAAAAATTATGGAATACTATACCAAAATAATGGTTATTTCTCCCTGTTGGATTAATATATAGGTTTCATTTCTTTTTCCTTTTATTACCTATGGTAAGCGTATATTACTTTATACAGGAAGAAATTATTGAAAAAAGTAGATTATTGTTGCACAACAACGTGAATGTATTGAATGCTACAGAACTGTACACTTACAATGTTTAAAATGGTAAATTTTATGTTACTTGTATATTTTACTACAATAAAAAACCCAACATTGTCAGTGCACATGTATGTCTTTGTCAGACTGAGCCTGCCAAGGTACAGACAGATTTCTGTCCAACCCGAGGCTCTTCTTGACATTGCACAGTGCATGCTGGTAACAGTCCAGGACACGCACCTGAGAATGTAGCTGTGTTCAGCTGATGAAAGCATACAGTACTGGTTTTTCCATCCCTCAGAACTCATGGACCTTTTAACAAGGGTAGACTTCTTAGGCATTGAATATAGTTCACATGTTTTTTTCTTTTCCTGTGCAACCCATTTGAAAGCTCTCATTTGACTACTTTCATTTTGTAAAAAAAAATCTTGTTAACCACTCATATAACGGTTTATACATATGGAGTCAGTTTACAATATAATGTTTATATTGCCAAAGGTACTGCTTAAATTTAGCAATTACTGTATAGACAAATTGTTGACTCCTAAAATGTGCCTTCTGGTATGTGAAAGAAATCTTTGCTATCAATAATCTTATGCACCTATATCAAGGACAAGGCCTAGTAATATAACAGATGATGTTTGGAAAATAATTGAAGAAGGCAAGATACAACTTGTCATGGATTTACAGAAAGATAAGAGAGCTCAGATCTTGAAGCTGGTGCAGTTGATGTGGAGAAGCTTGGAGAGCAGTGACTGAAGGAGGGAGGAGAACATTTTTAGCAGCATTGCAGAGTATCATTTATAGAAATTGCAATTGATTAGCTAGAAGGTTAGAGTGGGCGTTAAGGAAAGGGAGGTATACAAAAATGTCCCTGTGAGTAATTGGCAATGACAAAGCCAAGTGTCAAAATCCAGATACTATCATATACATGTAAGCAGAAAAATTATTTTTGTAGCATAATTCAACTGCTGTTTTTTGCCTATCATACAATTAATCCCTGATGAAACTGCAAATCTACCGGAGTCACACAACTAGTCTGTTGTTAGCCAGGGACTTGAACCAAGGCCGTTCTTCTTTAGATTTTAAAGTAAGAATCCTTTACTTTGACCTGTTGATTTTCCAGGGAAATTTTAATAATTAAGTCGATATTTTTATGTTTCCTGGTATAGCTGGATTAACTAAATTGGACTAATGCTTTTATTTCATAACTGTTTTCAGCATTTATATTGGAAGGGATGTCTGGATATGTAGCTTGGAAATAATAGTATATGAGAATCTTAACAATGCTTCAGATTATTAGTGTTTCCTACACATTACCAGTTAGATCCTTCTGATTTAATTCTGTGGAGATCAGCTTGATATGATGACCTCCATTTTACAGTGAGAAAATTCATTCAACCTCAGAAATGTGGAGTCAACTAACCACTGAGAAGCTGGAACTTTAAAGCAGGCGTTCTTACTCCCAGTCACAAATGGCTTCTGGTTGTAGGAGAAGATGCAAGCTTTCCCCTTAAGCACGATTCAGTCAGAGCCGAACAAAACTTTAATGATCAATTATTATGCCAGGAGTTGGCATATTTTTCTGGAAAGGATATATAGTAAATATTTTTAGCTCTGCAGGCTATACCGGCTCGTTCAGATATTCAATTCTACTATTGTTTCTCAAAATCAGACCTAGACAAGATGTAAAGGAATGGTTCCAAGAAAACTTTTACAAAAACTGGCTGTGGCCTGGATTTGGCCCAGGGGGTCTAGGTTACTGATCCCTGTTCTTCTGCTCCTTGTCTCATTCCTGAGAAAAGAACTGTAGTTTCCCTAAAGAGTTTATAGACTTGTCCAAGCTTCTTTCTGGCTGGAGCCCAGGAATCTATTTCATTTACTGCCTTTGATTTTAACATCTCTTTTGAAAGAGCTATTTAATAGTATTAATCTAATTGTTAAGGTTTGGAGCATCTTCCCCATCCTCAGCACTATAAACTGTCAGTGTTTTTCTGCTTGGTCTTTCTGTGGTGCTCGTGGAATTAGCTGAGGTGGTCAGTGATGCCTTCATTGTGTTGACAGAAGTTCATCGACATGTCTTTCTCTGGAGACTTGCAGACATTCAGGCCCTAAATAGTTGATTTTTCTTCAGTGTCCTTCACTCTGCACCCCTGCAAAACAAAGTGTTTAATAAGCAAACTCCACTGCAATTGCATCAATTTAACTTCACAGAAAAATGACCAAAAACAAATCTTAGACTTGTCCCTTGTATCTCCCTCCAGCACAAGGGAATTACGGCTCATTTTAAATCGATAAGTGGTGATATTTGTTATAAATAAAACATTTATACAGTTCTGCTTGGTAGTTTTTACTTTGCCATTCTGTGAAAAAACATATTTACATACAATAACATTACATAAAACAAACAAGTATTTTCCAGTGTTTATCATCTGTAATTCAAGTGCGGACCCTGTTTGCATCCTTAGTCAAAGGCTAGCATTTTACTTCTACTTCGGAGTCCTAAGATTTGATTTTTAGAAAACCTAATCTTTATTACATTTTCTGCTTCGAAAGGACTCTGTGTTTTTTATTAAAGTAGGCCAGTTTTGTTTCTCCATGGTGCTTGGCGTTTAAAATAGAAGATTAAAAACAAGATAGGAAACTTTTCTGTTTAGAGTTATTCGTTTTCCAAATGTGTGTGTATGTGTGCATGTGTGTGTTCCAGACTTCAAATATTAACTATTTGTTAGCAATCCAAACACATTGTTTCAATTCTGAATAAAATTTGATGATATACATAGTTTCAGTTTAGCTGGTTTTTTCCTTCGTTGAGAAGGAAGTTGAAATTATTTGCACATATTATAAAATTCCCCTTTAAATCTAAGGGGGAAGCCACAAAATAAGCCTTGGGACCTACCCAAGGCCAGGTCTGTATTCTGCTGTAATGAATGAATTCTTGTATGATCATACAGAGTTGAAATCCTGGTGATTGCTATAAGGAGAATATAGATGCAAATAAAACTTAATGTCAGGCACTGGTAGTATTCCCCGTTTAAGTAGCAGACTGAAAGTAAATACAAAGTTAAGTAGAAAAACCACAAGTTATTTCCCAATTATGTCCCAAGAATAACTTAATACTGCACTGGTATTCAGAGATGAAAGGGAAAACAGATTGGGATCTTCAGAAAAATAGTTCAGAAATTATGTATTTTGATAATCAACTCTTGAGGATTACTGAAAAAGAAAGTGATAAATCCTTTGTCCTTGGTTATTTTGGAAATTTTTATAAACATTTTTGGGAGTGTATGAAATGATGAAATTAGGTGAAGGAGAAGAAAAACAAAGGAAAAAACACTATAAATAAGGTAGATAAAAATAAATGAACCATTTTATTAAAACCAAATTATGCCATATCTTCTGTATTACATTTTAAAAACTGTCTGCATTTTTACATCTTTGGTAGATTTGATCTCTTTATAATCTAGAAAGCACATTTAAAGAAATTGAGATACATGGAATTCAATGGTGAAATGTTAATGCCATGATAAGGTATGATTGCCTCTCATTATAGTTAGATAAATTCTTAGTTTCTGTCTCTGTAAAACAATTATTTACATATGCAGTTAAAACCAACTTTGGTGTATAATTTCATGGATATCATTGTGATTTTGAGATATAAGGCACCATGAGAAATATTGCTATGCCATATCTTTATTCTGAGAAGAAGTAATCTAGTTAAAGATTGATTTGCTCGAAGTAGTTCTTAACTTTCATTTAAATCAAGAAAAGGGAGAGGTATATGTTTCCTAATGCAAAAATGGTAATAATATCTAGAATATGGATTCAGGATATAATGAATATATTTTTTCATTGATGGATATATTTTTTCTTTTCCTTTCTTTTTTTAGTCATTCCTTGAGAGTTCTCATATCTAGATTTTTATATCATCATAAGGGATTATTTAAGTATTGTTACAAACTATAGTTTTATATTAGAAGCATTTTAAATATTTATAATTTGTTGCTTTTAGCTAAGGTCTATTTCAGTTTTGGGAACAAAGAACAGGTTCACTATATACCTTAATCATTTTAGCTCTTTTAAGCAGAGTAGAATTAGAATGAGTTTTTGAATATAAAAAATATTTTCCAAGTGGATTTTCTCAGCAGGTAGGTGAATATCTGATTAGCTTGGCTCTCTTTTTGGTGGAATGAAGTAAAAGAGTTAATTATTTGAAATGTACAGTCTCTTTATAAAGCAATGAGAAACTTATCTTTCCAAGAGCTCTTCTTGAATTATCTTCACAAAAAGCAACGTCATTTCCAAACAGAGTAAGAATAAAGGGGCTTGTGCAAGATCTAACTTGAAAGGCCTTTGAATATATATATTCTTGGACCTAGAGAAGTAAAATGACATCTGCCTTTGATTATAGTTACATGGGCAGATTCAAATTCTAGAGCTGTTCTTAAAATATTTCAACATACACAATAATATTATGTTTTAGGAATATGGCACATGGTGGGTATTTTTAACATGATTATATATGTCTGACTGGTCGTCTTTGAAATAAACTTTTTAAAAGAAGACATTTACGGCGAAATCAGAATTTTTCACAGTTTAAGCCATGTTTGTCTTGGAGAATTCAAAGTAAGCTATATGAATAAAGGTTCCTGTTTGTTTCAAAGTTGGTCAAATTGACAGAAACTTTGGTTTAGTTGCTAAAGTGTTGTGCTTTTATCTTGTTGAAGGTTAATGAGAATGAGGAAATTAGGTTTTTTGTGGTATTTGTGAAGAAAAAGATATTAGGAGAATACTAATTTAGGGGAAAAACCCAGCATCTGTTTGTTTTCAGAGGATCCCTGGCTTCCTGACCTCCAGGAATCCAGTCCCCAGGTGCAGGTGCAATCCGTTTTACTCTCTCTGTTGTTTCACTCCGTTTTGCAGATTGTTTTAAACTTTACCACGATGGACTTATACAAAAGCAGTTTGTGCTGGTATGACTACATTGAAGTAAGAGATGGGTATTGGAGGAAGTCCGCGCTCCTGGGTAAGAGACGATGTACCTTGTATGTGGCTATGCATATAGTCTGTCCTGCCTAAAATCATCTTAGAGTTAAAACTGTATGTCGCCACCATTTTTGTTCTATTGTACTTTTGTAAACCACAGTGAAACACTCAAAGACAGATCAAGAAGCAGATTGATTTAAACTAGCTTGAATTATGAGGGAGTACTCAGATCTAGTTTAGCATAATGATTTAGAATGGCTTTCACATGTATTGTGTTTAGAGTGGCTACTCATCACAGTGTCTCTGTCTTTTTAATTTTAAAAACATAGTTTTAACGAGAAAACCAGAGAAATTGTGTGTGTGTGCCTGTGTTTTGTTTCGTTTGCTCAGGCAGTAGAATGGGAGCTGTTCAGTATGGCCATCGGTAGCTGGCTTCCTAAGCATTTTAGCTTGTACTGTAGACGATACAGTTTTACTTTGCTGAGAGTTGTTCTTGTGGCTGAGAAGAGACCTGTGTAGTTCGTGTCCTAAATTGTAGCTCAGATTAGATGCTCAGGAAAGCCTGCTGCCAGCGTTGAACCGCAGGCCACGCCATTAACTTGCACAAGCGACTTCTTTCCTGTTGCCTCTGTTTTCCTTAACAGCGAGAGCTGTTGTGAGCAGGGCAGCATCTACTCTATGTGGATTTTTTTTGAGATGGTGACTTTTCCTTTATTCTTAGAAATAGCTTTGCTCATTTGTGTGTTAAGTACTATACGGATCTTCTTTTTTCTTGCCATCTAAAACCTATTGATTGTACACTATTGTATTCAAAGTGGCAGTGGCCTTAGTAAGTCCAGGAGAGCTGTAGAAGTGTTTAAAAGGAAGGACAAAACTAAAGACTTGAACTCATTTGATAAGTCAGGTTGAGAGGAAAACATGGTCTTGAGCATTTGGTTTCTTAGCCTAGATGGAGCAGTTTCTGATAGGTGTATCTGCGTTCCAAAGAAAACACTTCATTTGATTCCTCATGTTGGAGAACCGAATGTAAAGCTAAAATGCTGGAGAGCACGACCTTTCGGGGCGTCCTCAGCATTACACGCGGCCGGAGCTGGGTGCCCGTCACACTGCTTCAGTCAGATGGGCGTTTTCATGTGGAGAGCTCTTCCTGCCGTGCCCTCCAACACCGAGTGTGGTCATCAGACCGGCAGCCTCAGAATCGCTCGGAGGGTTGTTTAAAATGTGGAAATTCATGTTCACTCCATCCTTTCTGAATTAGAGACTGTATTTTAAAAGACTCCCTGGCATTCACAGGCATGTTAGTGTCTAAGAAACCTTGTTTCCTTTTACATGCCCGTAATGTACTTTGCCAGTTAGGAAGACAGTTCCTCACCTGTTAGCTGCTGCTGTGAATTTATTTTATAGTGACTGCCATTTATAATGTACTAAAACTGTATGACATCATGGCCTGGGGCAGGCAAAAATGGATGACAATGTGTTATTGTTTGCAGAATACTTTCATGTGCATTGTCATATTTAACCACTTTGTCATTATATGGGAGCTCAGAGCACAGTGGCAGACAGACAGGAAGAATTAATTATTGGTGGCGTGTTGAAGGAAGAAAGATATGACAGGAATTGTTATATTCATTTGGTATTATACTTGCCTACAGATAGACACTTAGAAAAAAAGGCAGAGCTTCCATTACATTTTTCTGGTGCTGTTTGCCATTCTGCCTACTGCACTACAGATAAGAGCGGTGCAGATGAGGTGGGACCTGTGCAGCAGGAAGGGTCTCCCAGCAACGTGGGGTTCCCCCATGAGTCACGCTGGGCCTGGCCGGACGAAGCACTCCACCTCCAGTTGGGACGTGCTTTGACCAAGTTACTCCCCTACTAATGACCAGACTGACAACTTGAATTGGTTTCTTGTACTTTTTTCTGTTCTTTGTAGAATAATATTCCCCGCCTCAATGTATCACGTGACTATTTGCAAATATGTCTTTTGAACTAGTCGTCTCCCCATTTTATAGATGAGGTACTGACATCAGTTGGTTCCTCTGAACATACGTTCTAATAATTTATAAATAGATAAAGAGACTGTTTTATTTCTCCACCTTTATTAAGTAAATATTAAGGCACAGTTATGACTCCAGTTACTAAGGATAGAGACAGGAACCAAATCAGGTTTTATGTATACTTTATAGCTAATGTGGAAAGCGGTGAGAATATAGAGTCATACTTAGGAGTCGTTCTTTATTCTTGTATTTTTTAGGCAGATTCTGTGGGGACAAACTGCCTGAAGTCCTCACCTCCACGGACAGCAGAATGTGGATCGAGTTCCGGAGCAGCAGTAATTGGGTGGGAAAAGGCTTCGCGGCGCTCTATGAAGGCAAGCCCCACTGAGCTTTACAGGTTACGCCCTCCGAGAGCCCTTAACAGAAATATCCTTTCTTCCAAAAACATGAGAGGATAAAAAATAAGTACAAATTCACTAGAGTGCTGTTGTAACTGTACTTTCATTATGAAGGTTTCAAAACTTGCATTGTAATATTCACAAGGATGATTTTTCATCAAACTACTGGGTAAATACAAAGTGCAGGAGCAACCTGTTTCCTAGTACCAGTGATGTGCTGACACACCAGAGTACTCAGGGATGTGTGTGGGAAGCGGGGGCGGGCACGAGCGTTCCTAAACTGCCCATGTTTTTACATGCTTGTATCAGAATATTATGAAGAAATGATCATTTTCTTTCATACTGGGTTTGTCTCTCTTCGGTGCCCGTATTGCTGAAATGCTCTGTTTTAGGAAACTGCACGGAAAGTAATTGAGCGCATTCTGGAGCACGCATTGTCCGACGGCGAGGGTCCGCCCCGGAGGAAGAGTTTAGTAGGCGCTTTGTTCTCTCCTCCTCTGAGACAATGCGTCGGCATTGTGCTCCCTGGCTTGCTCCCTTCTCGCAGGGTGGTGGGTGGAGGAGACCCTTCTTGCCCCTGGCTCTGCTAGGACAGGAGTTTAGGAAATTTAGAAGACGGGAAGATCCCTGCCTCCCTTAAACTTTGAAGTAAATGGAGGCATTTTGTTTCAAAGATTAAGTGCATGGCAGCAAAAGGGTTATTTGGATGGAGCCGCAGATGGTGAGCACATGGCGCCAGCCCACTGCCAGAGGCCCAGGAGCGTGCAGAGCGCCGCTCCTGCTCAGCTGTCCCACCTGAGGTCACAACGCCGAAAGAAGCTGCTCTGGGAGTCAGAGAGCAAACTCGCACTAAATGCACAAGATCTCTAAAAGGCTTTTCAGTGTTAGAACAGGCTTTTTTTTTTTGGAGTAAAAGTGTGAATTAGCAGTGATTAAAAAATCATATATTCCTGTTTATTATCTAATACAGCTAAGTGGCTAGGCTTTTTTTCTTTTCCTTTTTTAGCTGCATCTAAATATTTGCAACAGTACAACCAGCCAACTTTGATTGTTATAACCTGGTCTTTATGGACTCAGCTCCAGGCACTGAACTAAAATGTTATCTTGGAAGAAAATGAAAATGAAATGGCTTGTCGAGGTTTATTTATTTATTTTTGCTGTCCTCAGCCATCTGTGGAGGTGAGATACGTAAAAACGAAGGGCAGATTCAGTCTCCTAATTATCCCGATGACTACAGACCGATGAAAGAATGTGTGTGGAAAATAACAGTGACAGAAGCCTACTACGTCGGGTTGACCTTTCAGGCCTTTGAGGTAAAGTCTTTCAGGCAACCTTCTGGGGGCGTGGGCTCCATAAATGACAGTGGCATTTAAAGGGATCCTCATTAAATAAGCAAATAACCAGAGAATCAGCTTTTCAATCAGCCAAGAAGCAAAGGATTGCCTATAAAATGTAACATCAAGAGCCAAAGCAGTTTCCCCCCCCATCTTTTCTCTTCTTGCAGACATTTTCTAGAAGATTAAAGTGAGTTTACATTATCTGTGCTATTTGAATTAGAATGTTTGAAGTACTGACAATAGTTTCTTTTGACAAATGCACTGGCTTGTTTCACAAGGCTGTCTGAAGGGTCCATTAAATAATAGAACTTTTATTTCTCTTTTAAACTAAGAGGTTAAAAGGTAGGCCATCTTTTTTGTTGTTGTTGGGGGAAAATCCACTTTTGCCATTATACGGAAAATTGTTTATATCAGAAATGGGGATTTAAGTGTTCTTGGGAGCTTTTGACTTCATGAAGAATATTTTTGGAGGAGGAGGTCGGCACCAGAATCATGTTGTTAGATGAGGACAAAAAAAACTGAGGGCCCGTCAGCATTCTGGAGCACAGTCTGGGCCCCCAGTGCCCAAGATGGCTGATGAGTCATTTTCGTGGGGTCGGAAGAACTGAGTTAGGGATTACAAGCTGAGAGATAGGGAAGTGATCAGGAACTCCAGTGTGTTTAAATTTTTAAAAAATGGGTCTAGAAATTGAGAGCCCAAGTGCAGTGGGAAGGAATGAGGAGATGGAGGTGATGAATCCTGGCACAGGTTGCGAGATGCCACAACTGGCGATTATGACTTTATTGCTTGGAAGGAAGATTCACTGTCCAAGCAAATAGAAAGCAGAAGAGAATCCCACCCGTCTCCAGTGTGTGCTGAGTGCAGTGCCCTTGGCAGTGTCTCATTCCCAAGGCAGGAGCCCCGGGGAATCAGGCAGTGCTCAGTGGTAAACCCGGAGAATATTGCACCCCACTGCAAGCTGTGTCATATAATTTTTTAGCCTCGTCTGTATCTCTTTGCATGTGCCATTTAATTTCCAAGACATATTTCTTTAATCATGAAAAAATGATCTTTTCTGCTGTAAGCGTGTTTATGCTGTTGGCAGTTTTGCATTTTTGGAAAACTTGGTTCTGAGATTATTTGATTTGCATTTGCATTTTGGTATTTTAATGGATCAATAAGATGGCAAACATTATTCACATTAGACCACTTTATCATTAACAGTAAACTAAAGTTGGGTAGGATTCACTTGCTGTGTAGAAAACAAAAGAACTGAATCATTGAAAAATTATCTACCTAATAACCTCAATACTTGTATGTTGTAATGTTGCAAAAATTAACCAATGAACTGTCTTTCAATATATAACTCAGTGTTTTATGGAATTTTATTACAGAAGTGAGGTCAGAAATGCATGCATTCCACGCATCTAAAAACTAGGATAGCACAAAGGACAAATAGGAAAGATTTACGTCTCAGACACTTAGAATCATGCCAAACACAAAGTAGTTACAATAAATACTTGTTGACTGAGTGAATGAATAAATTATTACTAAGCTTTAGGATTAGGAAAAGTCATGTCATAGTTTGGCTCACAGTACATTTTGTTTATGATCTGTAGTTTTCCTCTTCTCTCTCCATTTTGATTTATGTCCTTATGTTTTTTCCCTCCTTCATTTGTATATTGGATATATTTGAGTGTCTACTAGGACTCATCTTTAAACGACTAGGCCCAAACCTTCTGTTATCTTACTCAGTAACCCACACTTCTTCAGTTTTCCTTATTTCAGTACTTACTATTTCAGCATGTCACTATTTACTCAAAGAATATCCTTAATTCTACTTTTCTCTTCAACCCTGAGGCCAACCCATCAGCACATTCTATTTGCTTTTTCTTTCAACTATGTGCCATGCATGACCACATTATACCCATGTGCCTTTCTGGCCACCACCCTGTTTCCACCACCGCCCCTTCTCTTGAAACTTGACTATGGCCTCACATCTCTGCCCTGATCTCTGCATGGTCAGGATGATACATAAATAATGTAAGTTAGATCATAATGCTCCTCTGCTTAAATATTTTCAGGGATTTTTCTATTGTGCCTGCAATAAATCACAGGTTTAATTATCATGGACAAAGACAAGGCACGGTTTGGTGCCAAGCTCCTGTTCCCCCTCTTTGTGGCCTGCGTCTCTGGGCATTCCTTCTCTTCCTCAAACACACCAAGTTTATTCCCCCATCACAGCCTTCCACTTCCAGATCTTTGAGTTTTTTCTCCTCTCTTCCTTAATTCAGATTTCTGCTTAATCATCTCCTCCTAAAAAAGTCGTTTCCTGGTTTTTTCCTGGTTTAAATAACTCTAAAATATTTTCTTACTTACAGTTGTCTCTAACCCATTATTCTGTTTTGCTTTGGTTCATTTGCACTTAAACACTGTGAAATTTGTTATGAATTTGTTTACAGGGTCTTTGTCTCTCACTATATGTAATTGTCAGAGGATAGGAATCTTCCCTATCTTATTGATCACTGTATCTCCTGCACCACTAGATCCATGATAAATATTTGATGATGGGAGGGATGAATGGATGGATGAATTACATGTGAGTGTGTGAGCACATGATGATCAAAGGCTAGAAATTAATATGTCCTTTGTCAGGGGTGTGTAAGCTTCCATACAAAAGGAAACAGCCTGGGTAGGTGAAAAGGTTTACATTATGGTGGACCTAGCATGTAGTGTGCCCGAATTTAACTAGAGGTCCTGGGTTCGAAGACATTCAGAAGTGACAAAGAATTTAGAAATGTCCTAATATACCATCTAAATCTTTTTAGGTTAGGGAACTGAACTTAGGCCATTACCCTAGTATCACACAATAAGCATTAAACCAGCATTAAAACCCAGGTGCAGTGGATTTTCATTACTCCCAGAGTCTGTATTTACAAATCTGCCCACTCTGTAAAATTTGTTTATAACCCTCAAATCAGTACTCACGGTGCTTTCTGGGCCACCCGTGGACATGCACAGAGCAGCAAAATATCTGAGTCATCTGACCTGCACATTCCCAGCTTTGCTGTGCCCTATGGAGAAAATGCGTATTTTAGATAAGCATCGTTCAGGCATGAGTTATAGTGCTTTTGGCCATGAATTCAGTGTTAATGAATTGATGATATGTATCAAGGTGCCTTGAAACAGAAACACTTAAAAGAAGATTGTATATTGATTGCTTGACAAAAATTTTGTGACCAGAATTTTGCAGATACCTAACCCAGTATTTTTGCGGGAGCAATTTATCTATTAATTCATTGTTTTCAGTGACTTGATAGAACTTTATCATAAATACTGAGAATTGACTGTATATATATTTTAACTTGTTCTAGTGGTTATCAGATGGTTTGTCTCATGTAGTCATTTGTCTGTTTATAACTATTTTTGTTTACATAATATATTTTCAATATACAGCTTATACATTTAACGTTGAAAATATATAATTTTTAGAAAGTCCTCATCAATCTTTGGTGATTTTTTGTTTTGTTGGCTTTTATCCATTTATATCAGTCTGCCATTTTTCAAAAAGTCTCTCTATTTTTGTAATTTTTTAATTGTCTATGTTACCCTCTCCCTTTTCAGATAAAAGATCCCTTAAGATAAAATTTGTTTATTGTTCTGCTGAAATCTATAAAGAACTTAGTAGCTGTCCATTATTTATATCTTTTTGTGAATTTATGTCATGACTTTACCTCTCCTAATGATATTCAGATTTTAATGTAAGTACAGAAAAGAAATCTGAACAAGTGCTTTTGTTAGTGAATCTCCGGCATCTCTGAGCAGACAAGGACACTCTTTGCGGATTCAGAATCCCGAAACTCCTGTAGGCACACCCTGTGGGAAGCTTTTCTTTCTCTAGTAGTTACTGGTGCATCTCCTCTTAAGACCAGTTCTGACCTGACTTTGTGCATGCCTGCAGATAATGTCTAAAATCACTGTGGACAGCTTGTCTGCAATCTGACAGCAGTGATTTGTAAAGAAGTCTCTGTAGCACTATTTTACTTGAGCGCTTCAGTATGCTGAAATACAGAAGAGAAAATGTTTGGAATACTGGAATTGCTTATAGTACCAACTTTCAAGAAATGTTAATAAAGCAGGGAAGAAGTGAAATAAACTCAGGGCTTACTTATGTTTACATTGAAATCTCCACCTATGTACTTTAAGTGAGGTTAAGTTTGAGGTACTTGTCCGCATTTCTACATACTATTTTGTTTATAGTTCCCTTATGATGTTTAATAGTCTTACCAGTCACTACTGCAAGCTACAAAGTCCTAAACCATTTACAAAAGTGCTTATCTTTGTACTTTGTGGATTGTCTCACAAAAGTAATCTTTTCATTCTTTTAAGTATTTTATATTAGTTTAAATTAGGTAGACTAGTCTTTGTTATTGAGCTAGGAAGCCTAGACAGGGAGATCTTAATTATTTAACATTTTTATGCTTGTGATATGCTGTTTTGGGGTGTTTGGCTGAGAATATATATTGGTTAATAACTATCAAAGAGAATTAAGTTCTTCGGAATTATGATTTAGGATATAATTCTACTCTGAAAGATTACCACTTGTGTTTTAATTTTGTTTTAGAAAGCAGTTAACTATTGTGGATCTGGATGCATGTAGGTGTTTTGTACTGTAGACTTGTTTTTTATCTGTCCGTGTCTGCCAGAATATGCATACCCGCCAGAAACATTCTCATTTGATATAGGTGATGTGTCATGTGACCTTATCCATTTCCATAATAATCTTCTTATAGAAGTTGTTTTATCTATTAATAAGTTAGATATTCACATGTTTTCACTCTTTAAGATCGAAAGACATGACAACTGTGCCTATGACTACCTAGAAGTTCGGGATGGGACCAGTGAAAACAGCCCTTTGATAGGGCGCTTCTGCGGTTACGATAAACCTGAAGACATCAAGTCTACCTCCAATACTTTGTGGATGAAGTTCGTTTCTGATGGAACTGTGAACAAGGCAGGTTTTGCTGCCAATTTTTTTAAAGGTAATATGAAATCATTTGAAATGTGAGATTTTCCTTGTCAGGGGTAAATGTGATATTTAGCTTTGAGATAGAGGACAACTGGAGCAAGGTTTTATTGAAAGTTGAAGTCTGCCCTGTTCATAAGGGGATTTCGGTGGGTTTAGATGGGAAAGGTTATTGGTAAAATACTGGAATTTTGGACTTTGTAGCACAGGATTAGAGTTCCATTAGGATATTTTACCATTTTTTTAAATGAAATTGACAAAGAAAAATCCTGAAGGGGATATCTAGACTGGGAGAAAAAAAATGGCAATGTAGTCAACAAAGGATTTGTAGCCAGAAAGGGGTTTACTGACTTGTAGTTCATCTAGTTGTTTTTAGGTGGCAGTGCTTTGAAATCACCTGTTATAGAATGGCTTTCACTGCATTGAAAACAATTTATGGCATCCTTACTGGAATACCTAAAAATGCCTTTTTTTTAAGTTTGTTTTTAAGATTTTATTTTATTTTATTTTTAGACAGAGGGGAAGGGAGAGAGGGAGAGAGGGAGAGAAACATCAGTGTGTGGGTGCCTCTCGCATGCCCCCTACTGGGGACCTGGCCCGTAACCCAGGCATGTGCCCTGACTGGGAATCAAACTGGTGACCCTTTGGTCTTTTTCAAAGACTATTGTTTGCTAATTTGCAAACTCACATTAGGTTATATCTGAAGAGTGAAATTATAGATTAACTTGTCATATATATTTTTAAATAGTATATATTTTTCATATATTTCATATATCTTTATATGATTAAAACTGCATATTTATTTATAAAATATGGAATTGTTATATTTTTAGATTAATATATCTTTAAAAAAGCACTGAATGCTTTAAATTTAAAGAGTTCCAGTAAGTTTCTGAGTTTTTTCTTTTTAATTTATATTTATTGTAATCTATTTCTTTAGAAGCATTTTCAAGGCTATCTAACAAATTATACTATGAAATCAATAGGTGAAGCTGCGTTTTTTCAGTAAGTTTTGCTGTTTCATTCTAAAAAATCTCTCGTTTTTAATAATCCCCTATGATCTTAAATTTGGAAGCTGCACATAATGTGTGTGAGACAAGGTGGTCTTCAGTCGGCCCTGCTCTGGGTTTCTAGGACCTCTCATGGTTCTTACACGTTCTTGGGTTGCAGAGACATGAAGTGTTTTTTTTTTTTTTTAATGTATAAAGGGCTTGCAGATCGTTCCTGTTTCTTTCTCGAGGCAATTGTCTCATTTTCATTCAGAGCTATTAAGCCTATATTTTCAAAAAAATCTTAACATTTTAGGAAGCAAAAAACAAAACACTGCAAGCACTCTCTAACTCTCGCGGTCTTTATAGAGGAGGACGAGTGTGCCAAACCTGACCGTGGAGGCTGCGAGCAGCGATGTCTGAACACGCTGGGCAGTTACCAGTGTGCCTGCGAGCCTGGCTATGAGCTGGGGCCGGACAAAAGGACCTGCGAAGGTAGGACTGGCTCTGTCCTTGGAGCTCCCTGCCCGAACCCCTCCGCCCGATGCCTTTCCTTCCCTATAATCTCATTCTCTTGCTCTCTTTCTGCCTCCCTCTTTTTTTTCCTTTCCTTTATACTAACTTCTTTCCTCAACTAGTAAGACTCAACTTACCGTCACTGCTAATGTGAACCTGCCTGGGTTCTCATTATAAAATCAATCATTTTCTCCTTGGGTTACCAACCAGGCCAATTGTTTATCAATCAGTCTATCTATCTGGTCTGTATATGTTTCTATTTTTCTCTCTTCTGGGCCTAGATTTTCACCCAGCTATCTATGCACCCATCTACTTACTTTTTCCTTACGTAATTTATGGGTGCATCTTTCTTATGAAACTGCAGAGCCCTGATTCTGAATCATCTTTGTATTTCTGGTACCTAGCACAGTCAGATATAAAGCAGGAACTAAATACATTATATTAAAAAAAGATTCATAAACAAAGAAATGTTGTCATATTTTCTACATTTCCTCTGTTAGTCCAAGGTGAGATTTCTTATAGTGTTTTGTTATCCTGTCCTGTGATCTCTTCCTTCAGAATTTTTTGAAGATCTTATTTATTTTTAGAGAGAAGGGGAGAGAGGGAGAGAAACCTTGATGGGCCGCCTCGTGCAGGCTCCCAGCTGGGGACCTGGCCTGCAACCCAGGCATGTGCCCTGACCAGAAATCAAACCAGTGACCTTTCCTTGCAGGCGGGTGCTCAGTCCAGTGAGCCACACCGGCAGCGCTGCTCCTTCAGAATTTAAAGCCAACTCTTTTCCGTTTTTCCTGCTCACACTCTAGGCTCTGTACTCAAATAACAGAAAAGTCCATCAACTGATTTGTCTTTCTCCATTCTAGTCCTTGTTTATTCCCCTCTGAAATTTTTGCCAAAATCATTCTCCATGAACTCGTAGCACTTTAACATCATTTATATCTGTGTATTTATTAAAGTTACTTCTGATGTTTCCCACAACAGTGTGAGCTCCTCACACACAAGCACCTGGTTCTCTAGTGTGTCTGTAACAGAGGACGTAGTTAGTGGCAACGGTGGCAGAATTGTTTGCTTAATGAATACGTGCCACAACCCAGTTGACCTATTTATAAAAATCAGGGACTCCCTCTTTCTTCCTAAAAGTTTAAATTTAAGAGAGATATCTATAAATAAAGTTTCACACACACAGGGTGGGGGAAAAGTAGGTTTACAGTTGTTTGTATGGAAAATTATCCAGTAAGTACTAAACAATAGATGAATAAATGTTTCATGTATTCATAACTGTAAACCTACTCTTGCCCTGCCTGTACATGTGTGTACACACAAAGGCAATTAGAGAACAGGTACTTTGAGTAACTCTTGATTCCCTAGCAAATAATGGTAAACCATGTACAATATACTTATCATCAGCTCGCTGTCAGATATCCTGATTTTGCTAAACTCCCTTTCAGTAAGGAAGAGAGGTAACATAAATAGTCAGTTTTAAAACAGATCATGCAAAAGGGAAAGAATACCAAGTGTTAAGTGGAGTTTTTGGAATTACAACTATGTTCTATTTACTATAGTTTATCTTGCCTGCTAGTCAGACAGCTCTTTCCAAGAACTGCTTGGGTTGGGAAAAAAGAGTTTAAAGAAATAAACAATTGATTTTGATCTTACTTCATCAGACTGCATTGAGCTTTACATGTATGTATCTTTTCATTGATTCTCACAATCTATGAGAATTCTCACAATCAGTGTTTAATAATATCTACAACTGTATGTTGTAGATATTATTAAACCCACTTAGGATAAGGGTGCTCACACCCAGTTTTTCTTACATTGGTCACCCAACTTTAAAATCTAAAGTGTTGTAGTGCAGCCATACTTTGCTTGGCTCCACAGTTGCAAAATGTCAGTTAATAAGCAGAAATAGATGATTTAGAAAGTTTTACTGAAGTGTTAAGGGACAGAGGCTGCAGCTGTCTAGATTTTGAAAAATCTGGAAGGCAGTTGAAATTTAATGTTCAGATGTTCAGTTATTGTAGGAAGGCACAAAGATTGGGTAGCTTTGTTAAGGGAAGACTTTTTCTTTTTCTTCCCCTCTAGCGGCTTGTGGCGGACTTCTCACCAAACTTAATGGCACCATAACCACTCCAGGCTGGCCCAAGGAGTACCCTCCCAACAAAAATTGCATGTGGCAAGTGATTGCACCGACCCAGTACAGAATTTCTGTGAAGTTTGAGTTCTTTGAATTGGAGGGCAATGAGGTAAGTGAACAATAAATATGATTATTTTTCTGTCACGTTTTTGGAATTCCTGAAGGCAAACTGGTGAACTAAAAATGTAAAGAAAGACTGTGTTTCAGACACAGTAGTATAGGTGTTGTAGTCGTTTACGGTCTATTGCTCATTTCTGCAACTGTTTACAATTCCTGTTGGCATTGGATAATATTTTAGACTGTTTCTTAAACCAAAAATTACTCTGAGGGAGTTTTTATTTAGTGTATTAATAGACAGCATTTTTTGATTTATAAAGGAACTAAAAAAATTAGGGTCAGCTTTATGTCACATAGGTTTTTCTTGAAAAAAATCCACTGGTTGAGTCATAACAAAAATATTCTTCTGGGAGAACCTGGTATATTTGACTTGTGGAAATGGTTACATTTTTATTACATAAGTAATGTGTTATTATTGATGTGCTCATGGTTCACAACTAAGGACAGATTAATACTTTATCCCCAATAAAAATGCTTTTAGTTGATACTACATTTGATTTACAAAATTGATATTTTTAACCTCAATAACATATGCATTTACTTGATACTGTCTTTCTTTTACAAAAGTTTTCTGTAGTAAAGGTATAGTTTTGTGTTAGGTGACCACATTTAAACAAGTGAAATAATTTATTTGAAAGGCAGTCCTTTGTGTTTTTAAATTGGTTACTAATGGCTTTGAGGTAAAACAAAGTTGTTGACTTTTGTGTTTCCTTAGAGGAAATTAAAGTCTGAAATGTGATGAACTTGTGTATTTCAGAGAATTGTAGAACTGTAGGGCTCCATGGACATTTGATATCTTCTTTACATCATGTCTAAGTTTCATGATGAGAAAGACCACAATTTATATTTATAACATACTTCATACACACGGGACATCATTTTTCTTTAGTGTTATCTCGAATTTGGAGATACTTTGAAATGGAGAAAGTAATTTTTATAGTATTTTTTGGAAAAGCTTTCATGTGAGTAACACTCTTTTGAAAATGGGAATCTCCCTACCAGTTCTGTGGTTGGATATGAGCTCTGCGTTGAATGGCTTCTGTTCTCTAGGTTTTCCCTAAAGCCGTTAGTGGTGCCAGGTATGACATTTTGATTCATGAATTGGTTGATGTTCCTAAGAAGGCTAGAAGTTTATATTCAGGAGGAAAAGGGGCAGAGGGCTTTAAATTAATGGAGAATTGTGTTCCAAAAGCATTCTTCTCATGGCAGTGGTCTTTATGCATGGGGGACCCTTTACAAACTGTAATATGTCCCATAATTCTTCAACTTACAATGATGTTCCTTGTGTGGAAGGCTGTTACACAATTCTGTGCATTTTCATAGTTTGACATCTTAACTATTTAAAATGAAGACATGAACAAACACTTGACCTATAGAATAGTGAGTTAAATTAAAACTTAGTTATTGTGTTCATCAAATTGATATCCAAAAGCAAAGTCACTGTCAAACAACTTTGTCCTTGGTGACATTCTCCTATGTCAGAACCCTGCTCTAAACAAAGTTGCAGCTGCAACAAAGTAGACAGAAAGCTTATTTCATTTTTCCTAGCAGCATTTTGCTAATTCATCGCCTAATGAATATCACACGAAGTAGTAATTTGAGTTGACATATTGCAAAGTACAGATCATGCCCCAGGGTTCATCATTTGCATTGTTAAATCTGCTAATTTCTCATTTATGTAATAAGGTCATCCACACAAGATGTGTTCTTTAGGATGTGCCCTGTCACAACTTTAAAATTCTCATATGGAAACATCTGTTAGTAGTGCCCATAAAATTGCTGAAGGATACCTGGCACTCATGTAGCTTCTTCCATTTTGGCAGTGTTTGTGTATTGCATATAAATTTGATTTCATTTTACTATAAGTTTCTGCCCCCATTCCACTGTTTAGAATTTTTTCTCAATGCTGTAGCAGTGCCACAGAGTAACTTCACAGTACCTAGGAACTCAAAGAAATTAAGAAATACTGGTTTATTTGTAAGTTTGAAAGGCAAGGGATCCTCTTTATTACATACCTAGTATCTGTCTCACTTTGAAAGTTCCTAAGGGTGCTGTTTTGATTTGAATAAAGTTTCTGGGAGGCAGCTCTGGACGAAGCCAAACTCCACATCACCATGATGTCACCTCTGATATGTGTAATTTGGGGCAAGTTATATAAAATATATTTACAATATATTTACAATAGAAAGGATCATTTCTATTGCTAGTGGTTGTTTCATGGACTAAATGTACCAAATTCAATGTAATTGTTGTTAGTTTGAAAGAAGATAGTACATGACAAGTTCTTTCAGTTTCTAGAGAAAATTAAACATTTAAAAAGAGATGCATGCTATAAATATATATTAACAAGCACACATTTGTATATAAATCTCTTAGAAGGAGATATTCAGAGAATTCTTTAAATCTGTTTTTCAAGGCTTTCTGTCTCATATTTGGACTCTTTTCTTGATTTTTTCTTCACCTGTTAAGTCCAGTTTGATGGGGATATAAAACATAGCCTAGGGAATATAGTCAAGAATTCTCTAATAACTATGTATGGTGCCCAGTGGGTAGTGTAAATGGCAGGGGGGATCTCTTTGTAAACTGTATGATTGTCTAATTACCATTCTGCACACCTGAAACTAATATAAAATAATACTGAATGTCACCTGTATTTGAAAAGTAAAATTTAGAAAATAAACGTCAGTTCTCTAATACCTTCAAATCTGGTGACTACAATAGGCATTTTCCCCTAGGTTTGCAAATACGATTACGTGGAGATTTGGAGCGGCCTCTCTTCGGAGTCGAAGTTGCACGGCAGGTTTTGTGGTGCCGAAGTGCCCGAGGTGATCACGTCCCAGTTCAACAACATGAGGATCGAGTTCAAGTCTGACAACACTGTATCCAAAAAGGGCTTCAAGGCACATTTTTTCTCAGGTATCAGTATTCTCAAGCTGCCTGTGTATATTACAAATTTTCGAGGTGGATTGGCTTAAATCATATGTTATCTGTTCTTCATAGTTTTCTATAAATGTGACTTGGAGGTACACAGAATGCATGAACATTTAGCCGAGGTTGAACAATTTACTTAAAATAGAATGTTACTTACAATAGGGGCCCTGTTGAAATGTAGCCGTCAAGCACTTAAATCATATATAAACTAATCAAGTATTATAAAGGCTAGTAAAGTAACAAACTATTATAATAATATTCTCATATAGTGACTTTACTCCTTACAAGTGGATGGGGTAATGATATCAAACTTCCAATAGCTAGCAGATTTTTAAAAAAATTATTTTTGTTTTCAGAATATGTGGTCCCACTTTTGATTCTTACTATTTAGTGACATATTTCTCTTATTAGTATATGTTTATTCTGTTTAGCTGATATTAAAATCACACTTTGCCTCTTCACCATAGAAGTGATTATAGAGAGAGCTAAAACTATGGAAATTACCATTTTACCCAAAACGGTGTTATTAGCAGATATATTTAGCATTTTGGCATTTTTACATTTTGTGTTTGAAATTTAATGTTTATATTAATGAATTCACAGTAAAATTTCTCTCTCTTAAAAAGTTGAAATTTGATGAAAGCCCCCCAGTTTTAAGAAAATATATAGAAATGCTAGTAATATTCCTTTATTTTCCTAATTTCAGACCTTATAAAATATTATTGTGAAATGTTAAAAATAGATACAATTGTAATAAACCTTAGCATAGCAATCTATTCTGCCTTTCAGACTGGCACGCAATTTAAAGTAACTGAATTCCAATTATGGTTTAATATTGGGTAATTTGGATTGAGTTAATTCAAAGTCCATTTATTTCAGTCCCATGTGTTTAAAATTAATGAGATTTACAACAGCCAGGGTTTGTTTGGGGTTTTCAGTGTAATTGAAGTTAATGATTCACGAGCTCCATTGAGGTCCAAGTCACACAGAAAAGTATGTTCAAAATACAGTGGATCTCAGCTCCCTTGTTCTCATTCCCTTCCTCTCTCCAGATTTCATTGCCTTGTAAAAATTCTTCTCAGGCATTCATCTAAGATTTATGTTATCCAAAGTAGACTTTTAATATTCTATTTCAATGAAAGTAAGACTTCCTTAGTCTTCACTATTTTAAAAATATTATGTATGCTACTACTTTTAGATTTCCAACCATTAGACATAAGGCTTCTTATCTTGGAGCCACCTGAATATTTACTTTAAAAATTGAAATTGTAAAGTAAATACATTTTATCATAATATTAATAATATTCAGGATCCACCCTGGCTGGTGTAGCTCAGTGGATTGAGTGCAGGCCTGCGAACCACATGATCGCGGTTCGATTCCCAGTCAGGGCACATGCCTGGGTTGCAGGCCAGTTCCCAGGAGGGGATGCACGAGAGGCAACCACACATTGATGTTTCTCTCCCACTCTCCATCCCTTCCCCTCTAAAGATAAATAAATAAAATCTTTTAAAAAATAAAATAAAATAATATTCAGGATCCTTGTCACTTTAAGTTAGGTATACATTTTATTTAATAATACTTGTTAAAAAGTTACATGCTAGGTATATCAGGGACAAAGTATTGATTAAACTTAAAGTTACCAGAATATTTAAAATTCAGTCTCTGGTATTTTTGGTCAGGCAGAACTTTCCCAATCATAAAGACAGATATCTGTTTGCATCTTCAGAACAATGCTATTGAAATGTAAGGCGTGGTACTTGAATTCTAATGGCATAGTTACGAAGGCACATGCAGGAGATGCTGTTCTGCACACTTGACAGGACGTAGTCTATTCCTGTCTCTGTGTAGCTGTGTAATTGTAAAATTATCTCAGTAGCTTGGCTGTGCTAAAGCTCGTAATAGTTAATTTGCTGTAAAGTATGTTTACTGATGCAGATCATTCTAGAAAATTGTCTCTGTTTTTAGTGTTTACCAGTGCTGTATTTAAAAATTATAAATCGACTGGGAGACAATACTTCATTATCTTTGATAGCATCTAGCCTAAGTTTTTTGATGATATGTATGTAGGTAGTTAAGTGTGCTGCACAGTGAAGTTCAAAGTGAAATTAAACCCCAAACCTTCCAGTAGCTGCCAGTTGGAGAACTTGCTATGCAGACACACATTATCTCTTTAATAGTCACAATAAGGCTGTAACATACTCATCCTTACATTCATTTGGCTGATGAAGCAGCTGAGGAGTTAAGTAAACTGCTTCATGTCACCAAGCATTTAAATGCCTGTTTGTGTTGGTTTGGCTTAACTCTGGGAGCTGATCATGCCCTTTGTGAATGGCATTAGTTACATTTACTCTGAACATACTTGTTATCTGAAAAACAGCAGCTATACTTTTCACCTCTTGACGAAATACAGTGGTGAAATACAGTTTAAAATACAGTGGCTCTGGATGAGTAATTTGATCTCTTTCTCATTTAAGTCTCTGGAGGATACGTTTGCTCAGGAAAAAGAAAGATAAAAACTTTATGTTTGTAATAAAGATGTAGCGTGGTACAATCAAGACGTGGCAACCAATAAGGACTTCTGTTACCTACTGTTCTAATTATGGTCATCTCACAAAACCATAATTTGCAAAAGATCATCTGTTTAAATAGATAGGTGCTACTCACATCGAAAACATGGTCTGAGTTCTAATAATGCTTTAAGTACGCTGATATATAGCCATGTGTCGATTTAATGATTTAATGACAATTTAATGATTCCACCATGTAAATAGTTATCTATGATAAAATGTTAATGGAAATCTAGGTAGAAAACTGTACTATGCAGACAGCGAATCATGTAGGTGGGAGTGGACCTGCAAGCTGCTCCACAAAAGTATCAACAATATCTGTGTTAAGGCAGAGGGTTGGTGCCTTATAGTTCTTCTCTAAATTTCTCTCAGTTTCCATCTGATTTAAATATAAAAATAACTCTAGGAGAAAAGCACGTACCATACTTCTACCTATCTGTTACCCCAAATATTTCTAGACTTGCAAACATTACGTAATACATTTTGATCCTTGAAAATTAACATTATGCTAAGTGAAATAAGCCAGACAGAGAAAGACAAATACCATATGATTTCGCTCATATGTGGAATCTAATGAACAAACTGAACTAACGAGGAAAATAGGGACAGACTCATAGATGGAGAGCGGATGACAGCTAGTGGTGGGGGAGTGGAGGGACAGATGGACGGGGACGACAGGGTGGTGATTACTGGCGGGATGGGGTGTGAGGGGACTAAATGGTAATGGCAAAAAATACTTTAAAGATTACATTTTTAAAAGTTAAGAAAATTTTAATTTATTAATTAGTTAAGAACTAGTAACAAGTTAATATGTGTTTTTAATTGAGTTAAATTTTATAATTTTAAATTTTATAGTTGATTTGTATTATTATCTTATTATGTACAATTGAATAAATGTTACTTAATCATATCTGTTAATCAGGAGATATTTTATAAAGGCTTTAGTCTTAAATGGTTCTGTTTATAGCTGCCATTCTAAAAATTTCAGAAGTGATTATGTGTTTATGAAAAGCTAATGAGTAATATAACATGTTCAGCTATTTTTCACACTCTTTTTCTAAGAGCAGTTATCAAAGAATTCAATAAAAGAACAATATTTGACATCAGGTGATTCCATATTGTTTGGAGAGGAAAGCTATTTTAGAAGTAAATTCTAGCTTTTTTTCTGCCAACTGATTCATCAAGGAAATATGAAATATATTTAGGTCTTAGTGTACAGTATACAATGAAAATGTTTATAATCATATAGAGATTTTAGTTATTTTTTCACATGGCCTTTAAACTTAAGCCCTTAAGAGATCTAAGAAATGGAACTAGAAGAATGACTCTAAGGTCTTTTTTTATTTTTAAATTTTGTATTGTTCAATTACAGTTGTCTGCATTTTCCCCCGTCTCTCTCCCCTCTCGGCCCACCCGCCTCTCACATTCAATCCTCCCTGTTTTCCTTGTCCGTGGGTCCTGTGCACAGGTTCCTCGACTTCACCCTTCTTCTCTCCCCCATTATCTTAGAAGAATGATTAATATTGATTTTCTGTCACTTCCATGTTCATAAAAATAATAAATCATCACATACGAATTCTCATATAATATCTTAAATTAATCATGAAAAATTCTATAGCCTGAAAATTATGGAATTTATGGTAGCACATGACAGAAAGTCTATGAACTCTTCTATAAGATCAAAGTGTAACATACTGTACTAGTTGTAGGCTACATTTAAAAGGCAATATAATGAAGTAAATAAGTATATTAGAACTATTGAAGTAAGCTCATTTGGACATGGTATAGAATTATGTGTCCAATTTTTATCTAATTTAGGATATAGTGGCAGGTGTTTTATAGAGTAAGAATACATGATATTATTTTCTTGAATGAGGGAGGTTTTTTCCTAGATGAGCAATGTACTTATTTTATATGATAGTAAAACCAAATTAATTTTATATGATGTTGTATTTGAGCTTAGTACACAAATATGCACTGTTATATGCCATATAGTTTACGTATTTTAAGTGGTTAAGCAATGTTGTTTTTCAGTTATAAGTTGTAACTAAGAACAAAGTTATTTTTCTTTATATTGGTTAAGCTTAAAGTGACTGTTAGTAGGATTTTATGCATGTTTTTAAATTTTTAATTGTAGCATTCATTATTTGGGAACAATGTAACAAGTGACTTCTGGCAATGAGAGCTCAGCATAGACATTGTACCTTCTTGAGCAAGCCGGTATTAGTACAAAGATTCAATCATGACTTCTGCGATGGTGAGAATGCAGAATATGAAGAATAAAGCTCATTTAAAAGCAGTCTTTCTCATGGGTAACTTTAATGGGAATGTGATGTATTACTGATGAACCTAGTGACTTGCTTCTTGGAAGAAATGGAATAAAACCCAGATTTCCTAACTCCCAGCTTCCTTATTCACCTTTTATCATATGGAGTTCTTTCTTTACTTTGTTCCTCCCATACACTGTTTCTGTCATGGCATGTTCATAGGTATTTTGGAAGATGTTCAACCTGGTTTTATTGTAACAAAACTTTAAATATCGGTGTGATTCATTTCAAGGGGAAACACAATTAGAACTTCCCTGTGATTTTGAATCATGCTCCAAGTTTTCATTATTAATGACATTCAAATATTTGCTTGATTTAGAAACAGTAAGTTGTCTGTGTTGTAGGTCAGAGTTTATGGGTGCTTTATTAAAGGTGATTATTTATTCAGTAATTTTGTGCTGAAACCTGTGTACACTGTGTGTGTGGGTGTGTGCATGCATGGGAGTGTGTGTGCATGTGCACGGTATGCATGGTCTGTATGTTTTATGTTTGCACATTTTTGGGAGTATATCTGCTCATATGTGTTTCTTTCCTGGTGAATGGCCCCTTCTTTTCCTACAGACAAGTAAGCTTTCTGCAAAGGGAGAATTTTTATTTTAGACTCTTGCAAGAACCTGATACAGGTTGTCACTTCCATTCCGTCCAGTATGTATTATTCAAAAACTGATGGCCTCTGGTAGTCTCAGAGGTACTCTGCCGGCCCCTGCTGGGAAAATGCCACATCCTTTGTCCCTTATAATGGACCTGTCCTTCATCTAACATCAAGGAGCGGGAAGTAGCTATGTCCATTCCAATGAAGGAGGCTCATTTCAATCTTTAGAAAATAAATGTATTTCTATTCAACAAAACATTTGTTATTCTCACTAATAAAAGCTATCTTGAAAATTTTGTGCCTACAGTATGAAAATGCTAGAAAATTTCAAATGAATTATTGATAAAATACTCAGTTATTAAGTTTATTACACGGACATTCTAAGACATATGTAAAACTCTGCATCCTTCTGTATTCTTTCCTTTGGATTTTCGTTGTTCAGAATATCTGTAATTTGTGTTGTAAGAGAAAAAAGGAGACAAAAGTGAAGACATAATTGTGTTTGCTAATAGCTTCTTCCTCTGGTGTGATGACCTTTTGTACATAGGAAGTCTAGAATATATTTGTGGAATGAGGTCTTTTATGATGTTGCTATTCTCATTAACATAGATATTCTTGAATTGCATTCACTTCTACAATTTATTACTTCTATTCAAATGAGTGTTTTTTAGAATAACATTAGCATATTAATTACTTCCTACACAACTTAAAATGTTAAGTTAAATACCTTTCTTTATCTGAAGATATAAAACACCTGGATAGTTTAAGAATTCCAGTGTTTATTGAAATTTCCTTTTTCACATCACTTTTTGACTCATGGAGACAGTTTCATATGTTAGTTTGCTGGGTGGGATGACTTTGGTGCTTTTAGTTACTGTTTTGATCAGTTCAGTTTTGAATTTTAGCTGAACTTTAGATTAATACATGCATATATTCTAGCACATGTTCTTTATTTTGTGCAATGTTAATTTTATTAATCAACATTAAATGTAGGGATAAAAGCAGGAAACATCAGTCAACTGGGAAACTGAAAGAAAATAGATCCTTAGACAATAATATATAGATAATATTTTCTTCATCCTTTTTCTCCTCTTTCTGCTCCTATTTCTTTCTCCAAAAATATTTTAAAATTACTGTTGTTTAGCAGAACAGAAATGTTCTGTTGGTTATAAAATAATTGGCTATAAAAATTACTTTTCAAATATGATTGGTTCTACTTCAACATTTCTCTTTAGTTACCAGTACCACAGTTCAGACTATATTCTATAAAATCTAAAGGAAAAAATTCTCTTTAGAAATATAACCTAGTGACTTCAGATTTCTACTAAAATGAAGCTTCGATATTAGAAATATTTTTTGTATTAGAATTATTCTCACTGTGAAATGACTATGGATTTAAACACTCAACGGTAGTAACTTATGGTTAGTTGTGTGTTTATTTTGACAGTTTTGTACCTCTCATGCATGGCGATCCAAACAGACCCAGATAAAAGGAGGATTCAGACCATCCCTGCTGCCATCGGGTTTCTCACTTAGCAACTGCTTTGCTTATAGTTGTTAGATTTACAGCCAGCTCTCAAAAGTCTCGTTGACCCACAGTACAACTGAAGTTCAGCTTTATTTTACGCACAAGAGTAAGCTTTATTTTAAATATGACAAGTGATCATGATATAACATTTTCATAGGAAATATGTGTCTATTTCAGAGTAAGAAATTCTGGCACCAGGAAATTTTTAATTGGCTCTTTCCATTTCACAAAGATGAAGTGTCAGGTCTGTCCAGAAAAAGTCCAGCCTTTGTTAATATAAGGAGAATGGTTTGCACAACATCCATGTAACCTGGCAGCCAAGGAGAGTGGACTGGAGTGTGCATGTGTGAACAATGATGACTTCACTGTACTAGTCTATGGGGGCAGTAGATACCATTGAGTGAGCATGTGTACTGTGTGGCTGTAGTATTCAAAGTGACTGAGTGAGTAGAGCAACAAATCTGCATCCAGTTTTGCATGAAGCTTGAACATTCCTCCACAGAAACCGTTTGGATGATTCAGAAGGCCACAGCAATGGGAAAATGGTGATTGGCAGCTTTATCATGACAATGTGCCCACTCACGCATCGAGTCTCATGCAAGTTTTGGTAAATCATCAAGTCACCTAGGTTTATCAGCCCCCCTACTGCCCAGATTGGGTGCCCTGCAACTTCTGGCTTTTCCTAAACTAAGATCACCTTTGAAAGGGAAGAGATGTCAAACCATCAATGAGATTCAGGAAAACATGATAGAGCAGCTGATGGGGATTGGGAGAACTGTGTGGGGTCCCAAGGTGCCTACTTTGAAGGGGACTGAGGTGTTATTGTCCTGTGTACATTGTTTCTTGTATCTTCTTCAATAAATGTCTCTCTTTTTCATAGTACATGGCTGGATACCTTCAGGCAGACCTCATATTTCTATATCCACTCATGAGTTAGTGTGTTATGAAGCATCTTAAATAAAGATCCTCTGAAAAGGTGCATTAAAATAATAAATTTAGACCACTTACTGCTTGACTATTGGAATAAGAAAATGTATGTAACTGTTACCATGGTGGTAGGAAGTATGGTTTACCATCTACCTGTTCTGCCTAAATCATTAATAACTCAAACTGTACTTTTCACTGTTGAAGAAAATACAGGAACAGGGATTTCAAATTATTATAAATTCTCCAAAATTAATTTTACAGGGCTAATTTTCTATTAACTCCTAATTTCTATACATTTGATGTTTGATGCTAGATGACTTTCTGTATTCTACATTTTTTGTGGTTTTTTTAGTCCCCATTGTAAGTATTAAAAGTGTAAGGGAACTGTTGAGGATAAGTAGAGAATACACAAATCACAGATATATTGATTCTCATACATTCTTTATAACTTTGAGACTGCCTGAATGCATTTGGAATCCTTTGATACTTTCAATGCATGAATATATCCCAGGGGTGTGTGAGTGCTATGTCAGAGGGGAAAAGTAGATGTATCCTTAAAAATTACTCTCAGATACTTTAATTACAAATGTCTTTCCTAAACCCCTCTTCTCAGAGTGGATACTGAGTCGAAAAGACAAACATGGTGTTTGCTGTGTGAACCACTATGAGCTCACAAATTCCCTGTGGAAAAACCCATTGACAGTGTAAATTATGAATTCACCCTCACGTCTGATGTGACTGTCATGGGTCCCTTCTGTTCCTTCTGCTGTGGGAGTGGTGACAGTCTGAGTCATATGTCATCATATGTGTGTGTGATGAGCTGTCTGCCAGTTTGGACTTTAATGGACAAGCCAGCCATTGCAGGAGAGCCGAGTGACATCGTATGGTGACTGATGCTTCTCACTGGATTGATTGCCTGCTCATCTAGTTTGGCCGTTGCTCCTGTTGTGAATTTGTTAGCTCTTTCTTGAAGCTCCTGTTTCCTATTCTAAGCTTTGTCTCTAGTACAATAACAGCCCTTGTAGGGAATTACTTATTAATAAACTGGGCTGCTGGAGTAGGTTTTAAAAAATATGTAAATTAGCTTTCTTCTTTACAATAGTGTAATAATGGCTTTTTCTGTCTTAGAATATTATGAAATGTCCAGATTCATCAGTGCTTTGCTGAACTGCAAAGTTAATTAAAAAAACAGCTGCTAGTTGTGTTGATTTTTAAGTGATTATACACAATTCCTGGAGCCTTGTTTCTCCTCTGTCTAATCACCATGGTTAACATATTGAAGGGCTTCTCTCTAATGCCATTTCTTGCTTTTATTGAAACTACTAGCAATTTTTAATTTATTTTCAACAATGGGCAGTAAATGTTTAGGACTAGCTGTAAGAAGATCTGTGCTTTTCCTCTCTCCTGCTCCAAACGTCTGCTCCAGCAGAGATGGGGTACTACAAGTTCTCGTCCTGGAGCAGCGGGTCCTGTAAACTCGATCCATGGTACAAGGTGCTGGGCTCAACAAAAACCCTATCAATTGTTTTGTCTTTTTGTTTTATGTTGGGAACAGGAAAAGCTGCGGCTTAGTTTACCCTTTGCCAATGTTAGTCACAACTAAATGATTCTCCTTTGATATTCATTGTTTCTAAAGCCATTCACTAAACTATGGGTCGTCTTTTTGCCAGACAAAGACGAATGCTCCAAGGATAACGGAGGGTGTCAACATGAATGCGTCAACACAATGGGAAGCTACGTGTGTCAGTGCCGTAATGGATTTGTGCTGCATGAAAACAAACACGACTGCAAGGAAGGTATGAAAGCCGAGTGTTCTCCTGGATGGCGTCTAGAAGTTCACGCCGTTTGGGTAAAACACTGCTTCCAGGGAGAGTTAATGGGATCAATAAGGTGATCCCATTTTCTGAGTGTTTAAATGTTAAAAAAAATATGAGCACACGTGCAGTACTCAAAGATCCAAGGCACACTGTTGGAAACCTCGTTTTACCTAACGAGGGTGGCATTAGGATAACTTTGTATAACAGACGTAGACACTGCTAGGATACCATCTGGCAGTCAGAAGAACCCCACTGTAACCCCAGGTCTTTAAAGAACAGACCTTTGTAACAGTCTTCACATTTAAACTTTAATTCTGCTAAAGACCTTATTTTTGGTCTAGTTTCTCTCCCCAAAATATCTCAAGTATATGCTTTGTGAGTGGTGCCACATTAAATGCCAGGAAAGTCAAATGCCAGTGCCTAGCAAAGAATAGACATTTGAAAGTGGTGGATTCTGCGCCACTGAAACAGTTTTCAGGCTTGTTTTAGAAGAAGAAGAAAGAAAGAAAATCGCACTAGGAGCACAGCACTAGCCTCCCAGAGCCTTTGACCCCTGGGCCTTACAATATTCTGAGATTTTATAAAAACAATGATCTTAATCTCCTTGGCCAGTAAGAGCTAGATGGACCCAAGACATAGTTACTTTGTTTTCATTTCTTCCTTTGAGGGTCTGTCGCTGAATTTCCTACTTAACTTCGATGTATGGCTATTTTGAAAGAATGACTATGGCAGATTTTATAACTCGTGTCATTAGCACACGTAGAATGACAGGCATCTGACTAGAACCACAGTTAGATAGTAACTGTTGTCTGCACATTCAGATAATATCCTGAATTGGCCCTTGTTCCATTGTGTTTCATTCAAGTACGGTAATGGGTCAAGATTTTTTTTCTTCCTGTTTTCATCGAGCTATTGACATTGCCCAGAATCATATGCAAGCAGGCTTTTTGACTCTTTTCACTTTCATATGAGTACCGATCCATAGGGATTCTGATATTTGTAACTCAGTAAAGTGTTCAATGAAACCAACAGGCTGGGGAATAGGCCCAGTTATTTTGCAGATATGGAAGGTAATTCAGAGCAATAGAGACAGCTTTGCACAGTAAGCATGTATGTAGCCCAAGGTTTACAGGCAGCAAGTACCTGTAAGTACCCTAAGTCTCTGTTCATTACAGTGAATATTTCAAGAAAGGATTTTTATAGGAAACTTCCTTTTGGATAGAACTATATTTGGTTTCTACGGTAAAGTTCATTTTTACTGCCAGTGAAGAGGTCACATTTTCTTTTACCTCTGCCATAGCGTGGGCGCTGTCCACGGTTCATCAGCGAGACTCTTGGCTTTGTCTCACAGGCTCTTTGCCAGATCCTGGAGACACACATTTCATGTGGCAAAGGCAGGAATCTGGAATTGAGAGAGCCCTTGTCAAGACCGGATCCTGACTTTAAGGCTATTTTCCTGCTACATGACCGTATATTGTTGGAAAAGAGCTGCATTTCACCTCCTTTTTGTATTCCTCACAAACCCAAAGCTCTCTACAGACACCAAGCACTATCAAAGGCAAGGCCTAGCACACAGTCAAGGGCAAGGCCTAGCAGTGAGGACTGTGGTGACAGCACATGAACGCTGGCCTCACCCCTTCACCGGGGGCACTGCAGTGTACCGGGACCTGTCCGTTCAGTAACGAAGCTCCCTGAACAGGTTCCTTGGAAATTTTCAGAGAATTTGTTGTATTTCAGAATGGGATACACCTCATATAACAAATAAGTCACAGTCTTAATCAGGATGGGTAGGGTACTGCATCATAAATTACACAAAATGAACAGAGCCTGAGGGTGTTTTTGAAGTTTAATATTAACAAATGGTCTCCTGTAAGATGAAGTTATTTTAATTGTGAAAAACCTAAAAGAAATTTCATGCTCATTACATATTCTTGGAAATTAGTTTAGCCATCTCCATGGCTAATAGCTCTTCACTTATTTTTCCCCCTATTGCTTCATTATACTTCATGAACTTAGAGTTAATTCATTTTAGCAGCTAAAATTTTAGTTTCAGTGTTCAAGCATATACTTTAACTAAAGAGAAATGTAGATACATAATTCATAAAGTGTCTTGATGATGTTAATTAGCTATAGATTGTGTTTTTGTTAATAGAAAAAAATGAACTGAAATGGCATAATCCATTGATTTTGTTTGTGACATTGCATTAAATATTTTGCACATACCAAAAGCTGATATACTTGATTGTCAATATATGTTGTGATGCTAAAGTCTGAGCTCACAGATCCATTATTTTAAATAGTTTATTTTTTTTAGGCATTTCTAAAGTTCATTTTAAATACTCAGTTTCATGGAAGCAAGAAAACAAACATTGCTGTATTATGCTCAGCAACATATATGCCAAAGCAGATGAACATGATAACAGAGACTGGAATAATGACTAGTTAGTATTCAAGAAAATCTTCAAGTAGGATAGTGGGTACACAGGCTGCTTTCTCGTTGGTCTACTCCTGGGCTGGATCCCTGCACTGATCGATATTACCTTTATTGGCACAGCTGAGTGTGAACAGAAGATCCACAGTCCGAATGGCTTCATCACCAGTCCCAACTGGCCAGACAAGTACCCCAGCAGGAAGGAGTGCACCTGGGAGATCAGTGCTACTCCAGGCCATCGAGTCAAATTAGTAAGTGGGCAGGTCATTCTTTTTTTTATTAAGATGACTATCCATGTCTTCCATGGAAGCAAAATGGATGTTTATTGAATTGAATTGAATTGAATTAGTAGGCAGATGGAAAAGATTTTCTTTCATACACTTTCCTACTAACACTAAACAAATCCCTGATTTCCTAGATCAAGGTGATAGTAGTCATAGCTGTGAACTTCTCTTACAGGGGTCTTACCTGAATGTGTAAAAGGCATTAACAAAGCTACGGCAAGTAAGTAGGTAATATACTATTATAATGATGTTTCCCAATGGAGAAAATAAATAAAGGAACAAAAAACATCAGAAATTCATCAAGTCATCAATAAAATATGCATTCATTTAAACATACCATAGTAAATTCTTCTGGCTGTGTCACTTCCACAGTCTTCATATACAAAGCATGTAGATTGTTTCTAAAAAGCCAGTTTGGTTTTCTGGTTTGTGAAATACTATTTTTGTGTAATATAATTACCCTCTCTACATGGATACTGATATCCTTAGACTTCTTCCAAATTCAAAAACGAATATGTCTGTCCTCTGGCGTGTGTTCTTTGAGCTTTGCATTCTGTCCTCGTCACCTTGGAGTAATATTCAGTCTCATTATAGGCTACAGAATACTTGAAGAGTATTTTTAAAAAATAAAACCATAGGAATATAGAAATTTTAATAACTTCCTGCAATATGTTGTTGTCAAAAGTAGGAGGGAATGCCAACCAGCAAGGCTCCCAGGACAGTCTGACAGTCGCTGTAGTAACGGACAAGAACTTGTGTTGAGAACGAGGCTACCAGTCCATGGTAGCTTACTGGAGCAGTCCAGCCATAAAGTTAATTTTAAAATTGTTTGAATCCTTTCCTTTAGTGATTTTTTTTTTGCCAATAAGGAGGCTGTGTTTCTAAGCAGCATTATTATAATGATAAAATTAGAGACAGTCACCAACACATCCATAATCCTATTATGGAACTCCTCGCCATCATCATACTTGTGAACTATTAGGAAGTGACTTTCCAAACAGAGATGTCAGTTCATTCCAGCCACTCTTTAAAGGAGCTCGATGCTGAGATGACAGCCCTGTGTGAACTTGAGTGCTTTTCAGTCCTGTCCAAGGTCCTGACTGAGACAACGGTATTCTTTTCAGCAGTGCAGTTCACTGAGGGAGTTGGGAACATGATTTTTTTTCTGTGCATAGATCAGATTTTGTCTGGTATCAAAATCTTCTCTGAAGAATTTTGTACATGTGTGTATATATATATATATTTTTTTTTGTATGTGGAGTATGTCTGTGTAGCATCACTATCTAAAGACATTGTCATTGGGTATAGAATACTAGGATGACAATTTTATTTTCCAGTCTGCACTTTACATCCTTGACTCCCTTAGTTTCTGACTTGCATTGTTTCTAATAAGTCTGCTGTAAATCTGAGTTTTATTTCCATGAAAGTAATGATTCCTTTTCTCTATGACTGCATTCAACATTTTCTTTTTATCAGCATTTTGAACTCAATGTATCTAGGGATGTGTGTGTGTATAGTATTTTATCCTTCTCAGAATTCTGTGAATTTCTTGCACATGTATTGTGGTGTCTGTCGTGAATTTTTGAATATTTTAACCAATATTTTTTTCACAAATTTCTTCTGCACTATTGTCTCTCTTTATATTCTTGGACTTAAGTTACACATACGCTAGGTTGTTTCATATTATCCTATAACTCCTGGATGCTCTGTTCATTTTTGTCATTCTTTTTTGAGCCTAACTTTCAGCAATTTCTGTGAACCTGTCTTCAAGTCCCACGATTGTTTCTTCTGTCCTGAGTCTACTGATAAGCTTTTTAAAGACATGTTTAATCTTTCTTATAATGTTTTCTATCTCTAGCATTTCCCTCTGACTTGTTATTATAGTTCTCATGTGTATGAGTTTGCTCAGGCTGCCATGACAGATGTCTAAAAACAACAAATATGTATTTTCTCACATTCCTGGAAGCTAGAAGTTCAAGGTCAGATGCTGTCAGCGTTGACATCTGGTGAGGCCTGTTTCCCTGACATGTAGATGGTGCTTCATCTCTCTGTCCTCACACGGCCTTTCCTCTGTGTGCTCATGGACAGAGAGGGATCCTGTGTCTCTTTATCTTACGGGGACATTGGCCCTGCAGGGGTGTCAAACTCATTTTCACCAGGGGCCACATCAGCCTTGCAGTTGCCTTCAGAGGGCTGAAATAATCTTAGGACTGTATAAATGTAATGACTCCTTAATTGTTAAAGAGTTGAAATTGCACTAGGCCCTTTGAAGGCAATAGCAGGGCTGGTGTGGCCCCTGGTGAAAATGAGTGACACCCCTGCCCTGTAGGATTACAGCCTCACCCTTATGACCTCATTTAACCTTAAATACCAGTACCTTCCAAAAGCACCTCTTTCCAAGAGTAGTCACCTTGAGGATTAGGGCTTTAACATATGAAGTAAGGGGGAGGGTAATTCATTCCAAAACACAATCTCTCTGCTGAAATTTCCCACCTATTTTTGTATGTCGTCTGCATTTTTATTAGAATCTTTAGCAAGTTAATCATAGTTACTTTAAATTCAGTGTGATAGTTTAAACATAGGGGTCATGTTGGAGTCTGTTCTGTTATTTTCTCTCCTAAAACTGTATCGTTTTTTCTTGCCTTTCTGCATGTCATATAATTTTTTCTTAAACACCAGACTTTATGTGTATAATAGTAGAGACTTCATGTCTGGAAATAGACACATCTCTTCTCCTGTGAGGCTATTAGTGTAGGTGTGTGTATGGTAGGGGGTGTTGCTGAGTGATTCTAGTCAGTTATTAAGCTGACTCTGGGTTTTCTTGTTCCTGTGATCACCCTCAGTGTACCAATGGCTTCAAACGCATTTGAGAGGCATTTTCTCAATGTTTGTCCTTCATCTTTCACTTCCCCATTTATATCCTCCGTGAACTGTGTGCCCGACCACACTTTCCTTGCCTTTTTCCAGTGGTAGACCGCAGTTGCTCGTTACTTGCTGCTTGTTAATCTGCTGGTGAGGCAGGGCATTCTCTATTCTCTCAGCACAGCCTCCTCTTTAGACATACTCTGTGTTTTTAGGTCTCAGGGGTGTCCTTTTGCACTGGCAACCAAATTCCACCTTGTGGCTCGGGGTGGTCTTCCACGGAGGAGTTTCTCTGCCCTCTCGCAATTGTAGTAGATCTCCAGTGTCCATCGGAATAGGATCCTGTGCCCAGACCTTCCCCAGGGGCAGAAGTGTTTTTAGTTTAGTTCTGTTTTAAACATTCCCTTTGGCTACACTAGGTCTGTGCCTTTGCCCTGTTGGTCACAGTGCTTTTCTCACTGCAGTGACCAGTGTTCCCTTTCCCAAGCCTGTAACACAGAGGAAGGCACTTGGCCACCTCCTGCTGTGCCTGCAACCTCTCTCCTGAGCAGGACGTTGAGGTCACTGGTCATGGAGAAGAGCCTGTGTGTGGTTGCCAGCTCCCCATGTTTGCAGCTTCCAGGGATTTTATACTCTTAGCCTCACTCACACCTGATCTTTAGCAATTCATTACAAATTGTAGCTGAATGCTTCATACCTGGTTATATGGCACGTGACACCCCTTCTGAACTGTGTCACTGTGAGCAGGTGCTTGTGTCTCAGCTCTGCTTGGAGGGGCCTGATTTCAGCGGATTTAATGCTACTTGGTTGACTGGTGACTTCAGTTCTTGGATGTGTTCAGCAAAGTTGTAATTTTTTTTTTTAGTTCACATGGGTTTTTCCTTTTAAAGTAAAAGCAACACTATTTTTAGCTTTCCACATCCAAGGGAAGATGGAACTCCTGATATCCCTCGGTTTCTTGATACTTTATTTATTTTCAATTATATGCTTTCCAGCTTATCAAACATCCCTTCCAACTCTAAGTTTGCTTCTTCATAAATTACAGCCTTTGTGTTTTATGCAAATCTTTCTTGAGGATCAGGACATAAACGTGTCTGTTCAACAATGGTCATACTTGCCATTAGCCTATGAAGGTGATCTTCAGAAGGAAAATGGGAGCTTTGAGGCAAATATGGATCTTTGTTCTAAGTACTCGACTTTGTGATTTTAGTACGAGTACTGATAGTCTAAGCCAGGTTTTCTCAAATGTTGGCTCAAATCAGAATTACCTGGGAAACTTGTTAAAACACTCACTTTTGCCATTTCAAGTTCCTGAATAAGAGTATAATGTTGATTCCACTTTTTTTCCTCCATCCAGTTTTTATAAAACACTATGAGAATTGGGATTAGTAAATAAGAAAGCAGTCTCAGGCGGTTTAAGTCATGGAGCAAGTTTATAAAACTAGTAGGTGTATAAATACCTTCAAACCTACCCTGTCTCTGCATTTAATCTTAATTTTAGTCACACCATCCTGCATCAGAGAAAAAAGGGATCCAAAGTTACTGTGCATGTGCACATATATAATAATTTAAATGGAAAACAATCATGTTAGTAAGACACGCTTATAATGATTGAATAAAACAAATATACAAGAAGCAAAAGGAGCTGGTTGAATTAAGAATCTTGAAATGGAGGGATTATGCTGGAACGTCTGGGTGGGCCCCATGGAGTCAGAGGGCTCCTTCTGAGAGGGAGGCAGGAGGTCAGAAAGGAGAGGTGTTAGACTGTTGGTTTTGAAGACAGAGGAAATGGATGTGAGCCCAGGAATGAGGGCAGCCTTTAGAAGCTGGAAAAATGCAAGAAAACACATTCTCACCAATATCTGTAGAAGTAACGTGGTGCTGCCCACCCATTTTTATAGTCTACTGACTTCCAACAGCCCTAGGATAATAAAGTTGTATTGTTTTAAGCCCCTAGTTTGTGGTCCTTTGCTATAGCAACAATAGGAAACTACTAGATTTGCCTTGTGTGTGTTTAATCATGAGGTACTTAACTACATGATAGTAGCTACAAAGTAAAAGAAACCTTGGCTGAAAGATACATGGAAAATCTTCTTACTAAAAATGGGATAAAGTTCTAAGTGAGTAAGGACAAGGATCTATTATTTCTGGCTTTACCCTGTTTTGGTTTTGAGAGTAACCAATCATCCAGTTTGGGGTACCTTTTTCATCAGTTTGAATTATTGTTCATTAAAAAGAGAGCAGACAGTGCTGAAACAGAGTTCCAGGCAAAGGGACATGCAGCAATGGGGTAATGCACTTATGTCATTTTTACTTGTTGCATCATAGCCTAGAGTTTTGCTAAGTTATACAGTTGCAATGTATAGCTTCATATATGGGATATTTAGAAAACAAAAGCACCCACAAGTGTTATAATTCTCTGCCATAAATCCATAAAGAGTATATTGATCGTCCTTATAGAGGACTCATGGGGGAAAGGGACCCTTTGAATTAGAAGACTGGGTTTTGTATTCCACTGTGCCATTTTTTTCAGTGGCTCCTACTTCTTCCAATATCTTGTGGGAACCAAGTGACAGTTCTAACCAAAGACAGGAAAAGGCAAAAGGTGGCTGGAGCTACAGAGCTCTGAATCTTACTTCACAGCTGCTCGAAGTGCATCCGTCTCTTTAAGTCTCTTACATGATCACCTGGCTAAATTTTAAGCACTATCACTTTATTATCTTGTCCTGTGTGAATATATGTAGTGACTGAATGGCCTTATCCTTTAGCCAGTGCCCATATTTTCGACATAAGCACTTCCACAGATGTTCACATGAGGTTCTACGCAGGCAAGCCTGGCTGGTGGCCAGCGAGGTAGATCGGGCTTGCTTGGGTGTTCCAGAAGTATACAGTTATTCTTTCCACCGCCTAAAATGAGAGTTCAATTTTATTTCTTTTGAATGGGACTCCTTCATCTTTTAGTTTGTCTTGTGGAAAATACATTAAGATTCCTAACTAAAGCTCACAGTTATTCCCCTCTTTCTTCGTTCTTTCTAAAACCTAGATGAGTAAGCTTAAAATCATAGGACTATAATCATGGAGTAAGTAAGGTTTAAGCTGGAATGGTAAAATATCTGTATAGTATTAGTGTAAGTGCTTAATAAAAATATTTAGAAGTCCCCAAAAGGAGGGTAGTGTTTCCACAGAAATCGGAGTTCCTTACAGCCGCAGACCTCAGCTCTGCCAGCTGTCCTGTCCTCACTGTGAAGTTGCAGGGCTTCGGGGGCAGTAAGTGTCTGTGGGGCATTTCGGTAGCATTGGTCCCTGGTGTCTGGAAATGTTCTCATCACTTAGATATAGAGATTCATGACTCAGCATGTGTCATGTAGTAAAGTAATAAATTGCATATCCCACTTGATCTTTGGAAATTTTTAAATGTATTTTTAAAGATTTCTAATTTCCCGTGGGCTCCCAGACTACTTTTCTGTGGCCTAGAAATATTTTGTATTGAGGCAAAGTCACTCTACATGGGGCACCCTCTACGTGGACGTCTCGATGACACTGAGGGCCCGATTTATGCGATCTCAGCATGTGGTTAGTCACGCCTTTGCTGGTGTGTGGCAGAGCACTCGGGTTAGGCCGGCTGCTGGAGAAGGACCACCCTGTCTGTCGTTGCCGTTGACCTAACACACTGCTACCCATTCCAAGAGGAAAATTCACTAATACCCTAATGAATGAGAGTTGTTTGTATTGCTTGAGAATATGTTGCTACAAAACCTTTGCCTAATTTGATTCCCACAGAGTCAGTCTGATTCCATTAGTAACTTGATAAAAAGCTGGAGCCAGGTGGCTCCAGACCGAGTGTCAGTACGCCCCCAACCCCCGCCTCAATGCCACTTTGTGTGGGGTTGCTCTGTTCTGTACAGCAGACGGTATGGTTTCCTCCACACATCCTGCATCTCCTTGGGGAGGGATCACGCAGTTATCTATTCACTTAATTTCAGTGGACCAGTCAATGGACTGAACATGTGTGGTCTGTGAATTCTGATCCCATGTTTAACGTTTACTTAGACTATATGCTTAAGATGCGTTACCCCCATTATTCTTACAGTTTTCTACACAGTTGATTGCTCCATTCTTTATATTTATAGATAAATTATTCTAAGTTACATTCAGAAAAGATAATTAGTTGACATGGCTTTCAGATATTATTTTCTTCTTGAAATAATATTGATCTTATAATTCAGAAGCTTGGTTTCATATTTAATAAAGTTCTCTGGATGCAGTTAAGCCAATTTCCTCTTATGGGTTTTCTAACAGTTACAAACTGACACTAAGGCTGTAGATGTGTACACAAGGGTCAGGGAAGCTGACGAGTCCTCTCTGGTGAGAGGCAGGACATGAGCAGTCCCAGTCTGCCACTTCCAGAGCACTGCCACTCAGGGGTCTGACCGTGAACTTGGGATGGGTGGGTAGGCAGACCACTGGACAGGTTTCCAGCTGATCTTCCATTTAGGTTCTTGCATATCCCATGTCTCCTCGCCTCCGTTCTCTGAGAGAATGGTAAGTGACACACTCCTTCCGAGACCACCTACCTTGAATATTGTGTTTCAGGGTGATGAAACTCTGTTCACTATGTATCCTGCACCATTTTAGTTTCTTTGTTTGTGTGTGTGTGTTTCCAGTGCAATTCTTTGTGTGACAGTCTTTTTTTTTTTACACTATCAAGTTTCTCTGGTCAAATGCAGTGAATATTTCTTTTTACCCACAATGATTATAATAAGTAATTGTTCTGTAGCGCTGATTCGTTATAACATTTTAACTTATACTTTTTATAAATTAGAGTGCAGCAGAATGAGACATGAAAGATCAGTCCTCTTTCTTTTCTCTGATTTCTTTTATAAGTATTTTCATTCCTTTTTCCTACATTTGAATTAATATAAATGGTGTTTTTTATTTGAACCCTTACTCCCCTAAAGTGAGAAATGAAAGTAGACAGTGGTGTGGTATGAAATAGATAACCATTCACCGAGAGGAAACTGTTCTTAGTCACTTTTTCTCAGAGAATTACAAAATGTATATCTTAAACTAAGAATTATGATCACTTCACAAAATTATATTAAAGAAAACATGTATAGAAAAAGTTTATGTGTGAATATTTTATGCTTCAGGGATTGTAGAAAAATTAATGAATTTTTAAGTATATTGTATATTTCCTCAGGTTTCTTTCTTTCTTTTTTAGCTTTGCTCTATAGACCTAAATAATAATGATGGCTCATTTTTTATAATGTATTATGGTTATTTGGGGGAAAGAAAAAAGGCTAAATTGGCAATTGCAAATAACCTATATAATTTCTGAAATCATCAATGGTTTGGACAATGTTATTTTTAGTCCATCACAATTAAACCCTTCTTTGTGATATGTTAATATTATAATGAATTTTTATTTTAAGAATTTGAGAAGACCTACACACAAAAGATTACTACACAGGTAAATTAGAATGATTTTTAAATGGCAAAGCACCCAAACTTTGTGAGACTCCAAATATTAAAATAAGTATACCATCTGTCTGAAAGGTAAATTTAAAAATCTACCCTAAAGACATATTAGTGTTTTCTAATAATATGGGTTGTGAAATCTAAAGAAGGACACATACAGTGAAAATTTCCTTTGTTTTAGTTATTCTATTAAGATTTATTGCCTTTAATTTTTGTCAAAATATGATAACTACTGTATGGATTTTTCTTCTGAGTTTAGGTTCCTAAAGGCAGGAGAGTGTTCAATAGTTTATGATGATCAAATCTGGAAGAAATCAATGTCTTAATAAGGTGGTTTAACATTTTTTGATGTGTTCAGAAAAAATTCAGAATTAAATCCAGAGTAAAATACTATTTTGTTACCCTAAATTGTCTCAGTACTGGAGTATATTTAAGTGCAATAGTAGAATTAGTTACAGTAGTTGAACAGTAGACTCTCACATGAAATACTACATTTTTTTCTTCATTGTGTTTTTCCTGGAGCTTTTACAGTCTGTTGATTTTACAGCCCTTTCAATAATGTGCTACATGGATTATCATTTATATTGCCTGAACTTATTTCATTAATCTGTATTTGTGTTTCAAAAACAAGAACCTGTTTTTAATGATTTGTGATTTTTTTCTTCTTTCTTTATAAACAGGCCTTCAGTGAGTTTGAGATTGAGCAGCATCAGGAATGTGCTTATGATCACTTGGAAGTATTTGACGGAGAAACAGAAAAATCGCCAATTCTTGGACGACTATGTGGCAACAAGATCCCAGAGCCCCTAGTGGCTACTGGGAATAAAATGTTTGTTCGGTTTGTTTCTGATGCCTCTGTTCAAAGAAAAGGCTTTCAAGCTACACATTCCACAGGTCAGCAAATTAGGGTTCTGCCTTTCTTTTCTGACTAGGATCCAGGTTTTTCTTTCTGGGAGTGCAGCGGATACCATAACGGGGTCATAAATGGCTCCCCAGACATAGCAGAAGAAAGCTCACTGTGGCACTGTGTGAAATAGTTGGCAGCCACGTAGCATCCCAACTAAATAGCTTTGTAATCGATGGATATTTAGAAAGGAACTCAGTAGTTTCTTTCAAATGCAGTATGATCAAGTAGAACTATTTCTCGGTATTTCTATAATGTATTTTATATTAACTGTAACAGTTTAATTTATGTCATATTTAACAGATAGAAATCTATAGCTTAGTATTAAAAACTTATGTGTTCTCTAAACCCTACGTGGTTAGCTAGTTTTTGTATGAATATGTTTTTGTAAACCACATTTGGGATTTGTTTCTGTTTTTCTCCCTATTATTTGGTGTACAACATGGTCGTCCATACACCTAGTCCCTACAGGTTACAGCTGTTCTAGAAATAAGATGTAATTTTATGTAATTCAGAAAAGAAATTAAGTGTAATTCAGGAAAATAAAATGTAATTTAGAAAAATATAGAAAATTTTAGGCAAAAATGTAGAATAACATTGATATAACTTGGAGCCCATTTAATAATATATTTCATAAGTGTCTAGGAAATGTCTTTTTTTTTTTTCAGTTTAAAAAAAAATCAGTTCATTGCAGATGTTTCCTAAGTCATTTAAGCCTATAGTGACATCTAGTGGAGTTACCTATGTATAAACTATGGGGACACTTCTGGGGGAAGTCTATCTTGATGTAGAACATAAATAATAGTCTATGTAGCCGATTTTCAGCATTTTTAATCTCATGGCACATATCAACTAATCACTAAAATTCTGCAGCATGCCAAAAATATATTCTATTTTTGACGATCTGACAAAAAAAATAGGTATCATTTTGATTATTCACACTGGATAGCTATGGTTGTATTGGCTATTGTCATATTTTTTTAAATTTGACAATCTAATGGGTAATCTAAGTGTCTCTGACTAAATAGTCAGGAATTGCCTGTTTTAAAAATTATTAAAATCCTAATGGCACACCAGTTGAAAATGACTGTTTCATGGATGAATATATAGACTAATTTTAGTGGAGTCATTTTTATTACAGTTCCATGCTGATTGCTCTTCTCTTCTTTTTGTTTCACTTTGTTTTAGAAATCAGAATTTTAACTATTTTATTGTCTGATGTTACTTTTCACTCTAGTTTGTTTTATTATGGGCACAGATTTACATTGAATCTGTGAGAACGTGGATATTAATTGTCAGGATACTTGTCTGATTTATACTAGTAATGATTGGACTCATAAATAATGCAGATTAATACTTTTTATGGTTGATATAAATATTTTGGCTTGAGAAAAATTTTTTATGGACCATAAATTTTATACTAATGAAGGATTTTCCATACATATGATATTTACTCTTTAAAGATGTTTCCGATAATTTGTCCTGTGTTGAAGGAGTGGAAAAATTGGAATCCTGTTACTCTGTCAACGTTTTTCTGACAGTGTAGAGTTCATGGCATATGTTTAATATTCTGGTTATCATAGGCTCCAAGAGTACAATATGAAAACATGCTGTTGCAACTTTCAAAATAGCTGATGATATAGTATTTTTAAGTGTCTATGTATAAATCTCCCTTTTTTAGTTTGATAAAAAATTTTCTTTAACAGGGGAAACTTCTTTTTACTCTTTGTGAATGGATGATAAAGGTTATATTATGTTCCATGGTGTTGGTACATCTGGGTTTTTGGTCCAACTCTGCCATTACATATCTGGGAACTTGGGAAAGATAATTTCTTTGGATCTCTGCTTCCTCATCTCTAAAATAATAATTTCAAGGTTTCACCTTGGCTGGTGTGGCTCAGTGGATTGAGTGCCAGATTGCAAAGCAAAAGGTTTCTTACAGCCATAGAACTCCGTGACTCCTTAAATTGCCTGGTATCTGCTTGTAGAACCTATTTGCAATGTTTATTTTACCAATAAGAATTTGTTGATAGGATCTAATTTTGTATCTATTTTATTTATATAATTGAAGTTGATATTTAATATTGTATTAACTTCAGGGGTATAACATAGTGGTTAGATATTTATGTAACTTAAGAAATGACATTCTCAGTAAGTGTAGGACCCACTATTGTAGGTACATACTTGTACCTATACTTTAAAACACTGAATATTCAAAAGAGCTATATGATATAGATACTATTTTTTAAATTTTCTATTGATTTTAGAGAGCGAGGAAAGGTGAGAGACAGGGAAGGAGAGAAACATCCATGTGAGAGAGAAACATTGGTTGCCTCCTACATGTTTTCTGACTGGAAGCTCAAGCCTGCAACCTAGGTGTGTGCTCTGACCTGGGATCAGACCAGCAACCTTTTGGTGTATGGGACGATGCTCCAAGCAACTGACCCACCCTGCCAGGGCTATTTTTATTTTTTAGATAAAGAAATTGAAAATCCGGATGCATTATTAACTTGCAAAGATTTCTAAAATTATGTCAAAGCCTGGGTTTTATCCTAATTCTATCTCTAAAACTTATGCACTTTCCACTACATTACATTTTATCTTAACATACAAAGTTTGGATTAGGAGGGAAACCGATACAAAAATGGACCACTACTGTTTGAAGCAATAGGTAGAGATCGAAGGCTTCCCTGATCGAATCCTCTGTCTGAGGAATCTAACTGATGAGTCTCATTTTTCCCCGATGCAGTTCGCATCCATTCAAATTAACCCATGGGAACAACCTCAACCTCATTTTGTTTAGTGGTACGTGCCTTGGGTATTGCCTGATCCAGCACTGTCCTGTCAGAAATGAGGATTCTGAGACTTAAATGACAACTCTGTGACACAGAAGACAACAGTTGGAATTAGAGTCCCGGCTTCCCAACTTTTTCTGATTTGCTCTTGTCAAAATTATTTTGTATGTGTGCTTTTTTCCCCTCATGTATAAGTTTTGCCCTCAGACAGAGTTCTTGGAATTTTCTAGATAGATTTATTTTATACTGTTACCTTCTAGTAGCCATAACTTGTGAAATATTCTTACATGCTGCCGGTTATGTATTTCTCCCCAAAGCTTTCTTTTCAACATTTTACTCCATAGTTTTTCATCAACTATTTATTTAGCACAAGCTTTGGATAGACACTATACAATATTAGTAATTTATGAGGGAAAGTTAGGAATTTGAGGGGATTTATGGAAACTAGAAGGAATTCTTGCCTGTGGACAGCTTACAGTCTGATAATTTAAACTGACTTTCAGTTTCTACTAACAAGACAGCCAAGTCCACTGCCATGTCTGTCTACTTTTTTTGCTACATATATAAAGTGCTTATGCATTATTTACTGCCTTCTGGAATACAAGTGGCTATTATGAATGAGCCCTGAAGTATACATTTTTATTTGTCAGTAATTTTATATTTCTGTGTATAACTTTAACTTTATCCACAAGAAACTCTTCTCCTTTTAAATATTTTATTGATTTATTTTTAGAGAAAAGGAAAAGAAAGGAAAAATAGAGGGAAAGAAACATCAGTATATGGTTGCCTCTTACGTGCCTCCCACTGGGGACCTGGCCTGCAACCCAGGCATGTGCCCTGACTGGGAATCAAATAGGCGACCCTTTGGTGTGCAGGCCGGCACTCAATCCACTGAACCACACCATCCAGGGCCACGAGAAAAGCTTCTAATATTATGAATTTTGAAACCAGGTGATTGGGAATATGCTTTAATATTGCTTTATGGCTACTTTTTCCTCAAGCAATACTGTCCAAATCCACAGGAAATGGACTTTATTGGAGAATCTTGTTTTCCTCTGATAGTAGATCCAATTTCTTGTAGGTCCAAATTTATTTTAATCAATCCAGTTTTAAATAAACTAATTGAAAGAAACAAATGATTTCATTAACAAAATCCTGTTTATTTGCTCAGAGGATACTTTTAGTAAAGAAAAAGGGGGGAAATGTGTGTGGAGAGAAAGTAGTACTTTAAAGCATGACACTGTTTTCTGGAGCACAGGTCATCACACTGTCAATGCCATTTAAAAATCAAATGATACATTATTAAGCTTTTTAGAAAGGAAATTATTTTGATCCAACTCAATGAAATTAGAATGCCCAGTAAAAGCATTTATAGGTCAAGTTACAGGACCTCTCCTGGAATTTAATACTTCACCAGGAAGTAAACAAACTTGTCTTTCCAAATTGAAATGAAGGCCACCCCAGGGCTCCTCTCCCCTTATTTTGCCTTCCTTACTGAGCTTCATTTTCCATTTCCCAGACTTCTGTAATGATGCTCCAGCAGCTTGCAAAGTGTGTTCATACAGTCCATTTAAAAATGGTATTGCTGACATGCTGAACTACTCTGTGTATGGTTTTCTGACTTGGTAAATGAATTAGGCTATTTGCAGGAAATGTGTTTACTATTTAAAAAGCTTTTAAAGCGACCGTGTTAGATGACCTATTGAGTATATTTCAGAAGCGCTGATAGGCAACTGCCCTCATGCTGCCCATTATTTTCTGCTCATGGAATTTCTCTCAGGGCGTGTAAAAATAGTACTTCTTGCATATAATATTCAAATGTTTGTCCTTAAAAATGTATCCTGCAGACTAAATTTTCTTGCCTTCTGTTTTCATGGTCGGAAAATTAATTCCAGATTTATTATTTTGAGCCATCCATAGGAACCCGTAGGCCTCGATGCACAGGATTATTTGGGTGATTTATAGGAATGCAGTGGTGCACTGAAACAGATAAACAAAAGCAGGACATTTTTGAAATATTTTAAGTCATTTGTTTTTGAAACTGTGCCATTTCCTTGACACTTTCAATAAAATTGAATAATAATGCCTTTCATCATTTTCAGATAGAAATAAATTTATTTTATTTTATTTATTTTTTAAATAATTTTATTTAGTTATTTTTCAAGTACAGTTTTTTGTCTATTTCTCCCATCCCAACCCCCCCCACCCCGTGCTCCCTACCTCCCTCCAATTTCCACCCCCCTTAGTTCTCGTCCCTGTGTCCTTCCTATTTGTTCCTCCATAGAAATAAATTTAGAAGTTAGAGAATGGTGAGACTCTACTGAAATTCTGTAATAGTGTCAACAATAAAATAAAGTTAAAAAATAAAATCACACTTACAATTTTAAAAAGGGAGGAAAGAAATTGGAACTCATCGAACTTACTCGTTTCATGTCTCTCCCCCGGGCAGAGTGCGGTGGCCGGCTGAAGGCCGAACCCAAGCCCAGAGACCTGTACTCCCACGCTCAGTTTGGGGATAATAACTACCCAGCACAGGTCGACTGTGAGTGGCTGCTGGTGTCAGAACGGGGCTCACGACTGGAGTTGTCCTTCCCGATTTTTGAAGTAGAAGAGGAGGCTGACTGTGGCTATGACTACGTCGAGCTCTTCGGTGGTCCGGATTCAACAGCCGGGGGGCTTGGTCGCTTCTGTGGATCGGGGGTAAATACAGTACCGGCGGGATACCATAGACATGACACAAGTGCCTATTTATTCATGATCGACATGTGTCACATCTGCCAGACAGCTGTGTTTTTATAAAAAGAGTTAGATTGTTAATGGCTTGACACATTATAACATGCCTCGCCACTTCTGACCACTTCCCATCTCTTATGAATTTACTAGGAATACCAAGTGGGACAGATGAATTGAGTAGTTATAAGTTCTTGTCACTGTCCACATTTTAAATTTTATATTCTTGGTTTGATAGTACAATAAATATTTAAATTTTTAATAATATAAATGGAATATTCTTAAACACACATTTGACAATTTTGTTACTTCCTAAATTAAAGCATAAAAGAAAACAGAAGGTGCTCACTATTCAGATTGACATTCTCTTTACAACAAATATATTTGGCGTGGTCCCCCGCTGATGTGTGTGCTCAGCTGGGTATTGTTTGACTGCAAAGTGTCGCTTGTGTACCGAAGAGAATGCCAGATACAGGTTAGGAGTGTGTCACTATGAGAAATAAGAAAAAGACCCCTGACTGGTGTAGCCCAGTTGGTTGGGCATTGTGCCATGAAGTGAAAGGTCGTTGGTTCAATTCCCAGTCAGGAAACATGCCTGGGTTATGGGTTCGGTCCCCAGTCGGGGTGCATATGAGAGGTAGCCAATAGATGTTTCTCACACTGATGTTTCTCTCCCTTTCTCCTTCCTTCCCTTCTCTCTAAAAATATAAATAAATAAACAAAAAAACAAATAAATAAATGAATAATTTTAAAAAGCAGGCTCTCAAGATGGACCCCAGATCTATTGGACTAGAACAAAAAAAAAGAAGAAGAAAGAAAACTTAATGTTTTCTCAATGCCTTTTCCCCCAGAATTTATTGCACTAATATCAAATGGTCTTCTGAATACATATTTAGTTAGGAAGAAATTGGTCCCAGTTTTTTGAATATCTATCAGTTTCTGTTACTTAAATAATACTGTTAAGCTCCTGTCCAAATAGCAACTGAAATGAAACCCAAAGCCTTCTCAAAACTTAGATTATTCAAACAAAGAGGAATGGACAGTTTGGATCCTGGAAGTGGCTCTGCCTCAGAGCCACACTTGAAACAAGGCTAATGTCTCTTTACCCTCTCAACCTCATTTTATTTATTTGTAAGTCACTGGAACATGGCTTAAAAACTGGGGGAAAAACACCAAGTTCCAGAACGTGGAAACAGATTTATGTGTGTTCAAAGCCCAGCTCCATCACTGACTAGCCATGTGATCTGAGCATGTCATTGCTTCTCTCAAATGCAAGTTTTCTCACCTGCAAAATCCATACCCACCTTTTAAGGTTTTAAAAGGATTAAATTATATCTCCCCCCCAAAAATTCCCAAACATGAATTGCATTAAAGAGAAAGTGACTCATTCTACTTTGTTTGTTTGTTTGCTTGTTTTTTCTTCAGCCACCAGAAGAGATCTATTCAACTGGGGATGCAGTTTTAATTCATTTCCACACTGATGACACAATCAACAAGAAAGGATTTCATATAAGATACAAAAGCATTAGATACCCAGACACCACGCACACCCAATAACGACTAATACCAAAACCTCCTCCAGAAAATAAAGGAATGTGCGTAATGGAGAGCAGACATATTTTTTATTAAATGAAGATATTAGCACAAATGTTTTATATAATGAATGATAACAGAAGAAAACTGTATGACCAGAATTCTCTCTGTACTGAAAGAGAAGTTTCCAGCAGCTAACCCCGATCTGCATTACCAGGATATTTGAACTCCATGCTTGACGGTATAAATAAAGCTGGTGAGAGGGCATCACGTGTTTTGAGGAAGATTCCACAAGCTTCTGTTCACGGCTTGACACAGATGCCTCCCAATTCAGACAGTCAGGGTCAGTGTCTGTGACCCTGCCGAGTGTTCCTTTTGACAATTTTACAAGATGTGGGGGAAAGAAAATGATCTTGCAGGTCATAAACTGGAAAACCCTCTCCTTGTTTCTTAGGATAATTGCTTTGGCTTTGTGTCTCGGACACAGTGTAAACCAGATCCGTGGAAGGTGTTGTGAAACAGGAGTCTTAGAGGGTGATTTGTGCTTTAAATGTAGGTGGGTCCAATGTTTGGAAACTGGAATATTTCAGCTTCATTATTTTCACTTGCAGGCCAGATTAACCTCTTTGAAACACAAATGATCTTGAAACCACTTTATTTTACTGATATTTTGACAAGTTTGAAATGTCAAAAGTTTCTGTTATTGCAGTTAAACTGTAGACATCGTGTATTTAATGCTGGAAAGTGCCCAGCTGATCAATAAACTCGGTTATTTCAGTGGAAATGCTGCCTTTTCACACCAAATCCAAGAAGCCTTGTGATGTCTTACGAACTTCATGAGAAAACTCCAAACAGGTGTGAACAGGATTCTTCTAAGTGACTGCCAGATGGTTCATCCTCGAGTTACCACTGCTGCTATTGTCCTTCTTCTGTTGTTGATCTGTTCTAGTTGTTATCGTTGATGTTGTTACGATTAATGTTGTATTTTAAAAAGTAAAGTGAAAGTAGACCTTGTAAGAATTGAAAGATCTTTCTTTTTGTTCTTCCTGGGATTCACTTCTTAAGAATGCAATGTTGGAAAAAAGAATTTGTTTCTGAAGGACTTTCTATGGTGCTATTCTGTAAACATTTTTTAAACAAAGTTTTTGACCGTCCAGCCAACCATCTGTATACTACAATTATCTCCTTGTGTCTGGCTGGTGGCATCTGAAGACTAAAGACTTGTTAAAATGTATCAAGAGTGTGTCATTGCAAGGGTGGCACTTGTCCTGTGGAACAACTTCTTCTAATGCCTTAGAATTCTTGCACACGATCAGACATCCTTGTAGAAACACATCTTTTGAAATATTGAACATAATAGTATATGTTAATTAGCATCTTTATGAAGACAGCCTGTTTTGGGGACAGAATGTTGGTTATAAATATGTTGACATGCTTTTGTTGTAGAAAATGATGTTCTGCTTTAAAGCCATGTGTGTTTTTAGTATTTATGTATATGTGAGCTTGTCTGAGTGAGCGAAGCTATAAGAAGGTGAAACGTACTGAGTGGACGGTTTGAAAAGTTAAAATTTATGTGCCAAGTTCTATGAGAATCCTGTTTGAAGGAGCACCTTTCTGAGGAGGCTTCATGGACAAAAATGGGAACTTCTAATTATTATCAACCCATTACAAAAACTGGCTCTTTCCTTCAGAGAAACTCTATTTTGATATTTTTTGATGTTGATGTAGATTGCTCTACGAAGTAGCTGTATTTCCGTCAGCTGTCCATGAACACTCAATATTAATAAAGGTGGGGTGTTTTTCTTCATTTTTACAAAACTAAACTCTACACACAGATGTAGTTTATTTGTTTTTCTGTTGTTGCCCTAAAGAATCTTTTCTTGCATACAAATTATAATATGTAAATACAGTTTTAGAACCAATCTTTGGATCTTATTGAATGGTATTTCAGAAATATATAGCTGTTGCCTGCAAAATAATGAGTTTTTAGTGGAGCTGATTTATTCCAGTAACTTCTATATTTCTCACTAATCTCCAATTAGCCAAAATTTATCAGGAATGGGAAAGAGAAAAGAAAAAACATTAACAGCCTGGTACTGGGCACACACACTAGCTCTTTGTACCAGGTATGTTACCCTTTGAAAACTGTGCTGATGTTCTCATTTTGTGGTTCGGAAACTGAAGCTCTCAGAAGGTGTGTGACATCCGCAAGTCATAGTGTAAAGTTACATGCTGAAACCCACCGTGTCCAATATAAAAATCTGTGCTTGTCCTACAAAATGTAGTAGAATCAATCTTGACAGACATAAATAGTAGATTTTTTTATGATGAAACTTTTCCACATTGAGTAAATTTTAGGGATGAACTACAGTGAAACCTTCAGGATAAACCTATTGTCCCTTTCAGAAACAGCATGACAATTTGAATATCAGCTGTAGATAGCTTTAAGGACCACAGTTAGTGCTAGAAATTTAAAAGAAAGAAACCTGTAGTTCAGCTTAACGATGACCCACAAACTTCGGACCAACTGAAACCTGTAGTTCAAAGGTAGTAACCACGGACCTTTTGTTAAAATAAACACATTAAATTATTTTGTCTGCTGTGGTAGGGGAGATGTAGTGTTCTACTTTAAGAAATATTGTGGACATTCCAGTTGATAGTAGGCTACAAAGTGCTGCTTCCACAACCGAAACACTGAAGTAAAAAGGTATTTAGAAAGCATATAGAGAGGTTGTCACAACTTAGGTCTTCGATGTGGACATGAATTTCTATTGTATCTTCTGTCATTTCAGTTCACTGCATATTTTTATATTAACTCAACTTTGATTTCAATGTGTTGTTAAATGCAAATACAGACAGCTTCATTGTTTTGTTGATAATTGTTACTGTTCTAGACATTTTATTAAATTAATTGTGTAAATTATTTTCAACCCTTGTATCAGTATATTGGTTGTTCTCTGTTTGCCACAGTTCTTTCTCCTGTGCATTCTGTACACAGAAAAAAAAACTGCTCCCGTGTCATATGATTTTATTAAGTTATTTTAAAGTCATTAATCGAGTTTATTATCATGCCTTAATGTACCTGAATAAAACAACATTTTTTAAGAAATGAATGAAAAGTGGACGTTATATTTTCAAAGTCACCAAAATGTTCCCTGCCTATTTTAGCTAGATTTTTGCTCTCTAAGACTAATGTATCACAGTATCAGATTCAAATTCTTTCCAGTTTTGTTTTTAAATATCTTAGTCTCTTTTGTTTGGTTTTTATTAATACTGTATTTTTTTTATGGTGAGCCTCAAATAGGAAATTATGTTCTCCCATACAGAAAATCTCTAAAAGCATCTAATAATTGTTATTTTTAAGAAGAATAAAAGTTATTTTTAAAAATTAAGTTACATACTTGCTTACATTTTGTAAACTGTACTCATGTGTGACATTAAGAATGACTTTTACTTAGCAAAATGTTTGGAAATTTTATTTAGTGAAAATGAGAATAAGACTTACTTTTTGGAGAAAGTTTAATACCACTTGTTAAATTTGGCATGGGAGGAGAAAAACAGAAAAAATAATTACTTTCTAAAGTTTCATAACTTGAACTGCAGTAATGCCTCCCATTTTATAGGAAAATGTGTAATATGAGCTTATCAAAAAAGAGAAAAGCTGGTCTGTGAATGAACTGGAGCATTTTCTGCTTCACTGTGATCGATATGCTTCACTTATGGTTTTACTGTGCTTCAATACACAGGAAATCATTGCCGATGAATACTTAATAAAGTTGAAAAATTTAGTAATTCGCCTAGGAAACAATTGTTGGCAATGCTGGCTCTGATACATTGTGAGATATTATTATTAGCCTCTAAACTTTCTTTCAACATCTACCTTTTACATAGTCCAGCCTTCAACGACCTGTCTTTCATTGTCCACCACCGGACTCACCCTGAGTCCTGGCTCACCGTGTGGGTCTCTTCTGCACCGGGACACCTAAGTAGCACAGAAACTGTGGCGGGAGGATTCCAAAGAGATTATTGGCCTGGAGCCCTGTATTTATATTCTCCCTCTAGCACAATATCTTAAGTGAAATTTGACACAATATCAACATCTAACTTTAGAAGACTTGGAGGTGGAAATACATTTGGACTAAAACTTATGAAAAGAGAAGACTGAAAAAGGAAACATGCATTGCAGGATGTGTAGGCAAGAGGCCCCGGCAGCTGGGTCTGCTCTTGCCTTTGTTGCCCAGGTGAAGGTGTTGAGTAAATAGTCAGATTCCTGGTGTTGTTCTGTGTTATTTCTATATGAATACAAGCTGCTGGCTCCACCCACCCTTCTGCCCTGACTCTGCTTTCTTTACCTATATTTTTCAAATAGCAGGATTCTATGTACTCTGTGTGAATGATATAATTTCTCCTCCAGTTGCATGGCCCCTAAATCTAGGTGTAATAGTAGAAACCCTTCAGACTTATATTCCATATTCAATTCCATACCAAGTCATGCCAGTATTACCTAATTTTCTCTCCACTTGCTTCTCTTTATCTCTCTTGCTGCTTATGGAGTGCAAATTACTGTCATGTCTTTCCTGCCTTTTTGTAATAGCTTGATATATATCAGTCGTGGAAGCTCTCTATGTATATTAACCTACAAAACCCTTATCCTATGAGGCCAATGTTAGGATTACCCTGTCACCTGTGAGGCAATGTGTTTGACGTCACACAAGCAGTAAGTGAAAGAGCTGGAATTTGAACCAGGTTGTGTGCCCTTGTATATGACATTATAGAGCCGTGTGTAGAGAAGTAAGTATTTTATTTTCCTCAAATCCAGGAAAATGGATTGTGAACATTCTAACTGAAGTTATCTTGAGTCCTTTGATACAGCTTTATGGAATGGAGCATCATATTTTTCATATTGGAGTTTCTTAAAATGAAAAATATAACATCGAAATCTTAGCTCACTAAAATTCTGTCTACAGGGAATTAACATAACGTGATCCAGATCTTTTGGCTTTTAAAACCTGACATTTGCCTTAACATGGGGATAGAGCTTGGAGAAACTCAAGGGTGAAGATTTCACGTGTTCTTAGAAAGTACCTGTTCTACATCAGCATTCCCGAGGAAGGCGTGGGCAAGTGTGGGCACCAGGTCGGCTTACAGTGGAACCCTGCAGCCAGAGCCCGGGGGCAGCTCTTCTCTGCCCACTTTGATGACTGAAGTATCCGTGTGATTTAAACTCCAGATGCACAGGAGGCCTCCTGTTTTGAAAACTAAGGAGACTATGTGATCTGCATTACCAAGTCTGTCTGAAGCTGACACAGAGATCGACTCCATGACAGTCTGCAGATTTACTTGATTAGAATTAGACTCTTTTAAAGTGACCTAATTTTCCTAGGTTATATGGATATGATGGATGAGTCCAAAGTCAAGATCTCTGTAATTGGATTGACGCCCTTACCCAGAATTTAAAAGCCCTGAAATCCATTAAATTTCCTGGAGAAAACATTTTCTCTCCAGAGCAATGGGTGTTTTGGGAAAAAAATCAGTAATTTGTATTCTCTCTCCTGGTGGCACATCTTCACCCATTTCAGATGATGTTCAGTTGGGCGATTCTGTTGTCAAATGTCATCGAGAGTCCCTAGTTAGGAGACTGTGTGTGTGTGTGTGTGTGTGTGTGTGTGAGACACCATCCTTCAACAACTATTTCAGTTTGGGCTGTTGGCTTTTCCCTCGGCTCCAACATTTGCTGAATTAGGCAGCAGCTCTTCGGAGCTCTCCTCACCGTCAGTTGTGACAGTTCCAGCGGCCACTTTCCAATAAGTTGGTCTTCCCAGTATCGCACCTTCTCTCACTGTTCCCAGGTGACTGAGACACTGTCCCATTTACAGCCTGTACATAACTCCAAGGACATGGCACAGACCTGGCCAGCTCCCAGGTGATTCCTCCACAGGCCTTTGTGAAAAAACCCAGGGGCACCCCCATTCTCTCTTTGAGCTTAGCTGTTATTATTGACTTCAAAAGCACCGATTTGCAGCTCAGAATGAGGTCTCACCCTCAGTGAGGTAATGGTGTACGTCTACAAAGTCACAACTTAGCAGGTTGGAGTAGCTTGTAGGTAAGTCTAAGTTTACTGCCAACTCCTTTTTTTTTTTTTTAGCGTATGCTTTCCTGTTTATATCATTCAGGGTCCCCACCTGGAAGAAGGTGTCAAAACACAGTCTGTGGTATTTAGGGGTAGAGATAGTTACAGAAAATTTGAATGTTGCCTCACCTCATTTTTACTCATGCCCAGGCAGTTGTGATGACGATATAAAATTTTCAGATTTGGGAAGAGAAGGCTTGAGGTTTACACTTACTCAATTCCTTTTCTGTTTGTTGGTATAAATGTTAGTTTTGTAGAGATAGGGAAAATATGATTTTGCAAATGTAAGACCCAGTGTATTATTTTGATCTTGGAAGAAACTGAGTTCTGAATTTTCTCTTGTTGGATCTGGAGTTTATAAGATCTCTCAGACTTGGGTGGTCATGGGGTTGGAGCAAGTTTTTAAATCATAAAAAGAAACCGAATAGGTTTCTAAGCAGAAGAAAGGAATTCCAGAAGGATGAAACCATTCTGATCCAAAGTGCTGAGGACAGATGCTGGGCTGAACTGCAGATGGAGACGGTAGAGAAAGCCATTAAGGGAAGCAGGGACCTGTGTGGCTGGAAGGGTTCCTTCCCTCAGACGGCCCCGCAGGCCGGGCTGGGCTGGGCATTTCTCTCTCACCCTGCTTGAGAATATTAAATTGGCACACAGCTACACAGAGTTTTCAAAAAGCATATGTTAAAATTAATATTGTTTGGGATTCAGATTTTTAAAAACTATTTTGAGGTTGTTGCTTCACAAAGCATACTGCATTTTACATACATGTTTGCTACTGTATTCATGCGTGAAACAACTGAATAAAGTGAAGTATTTGAAATATTATTCCCATCTGCTAGCTGGCTCATAAATCTACGTGATAAGTTATTACAAATCCAATTCAGCATTACATTGTATGTATTTTTTTAATGAGTGTGGTATATATTTCTTCCCTGAGGGTTGGAGACGTGGTTTTAATCCGGGGCAAGGCCCACTGCCTAATATGAAGTTATGCGCGCTGGCAGATTTCGTAGTGAGCAGTGCACAGATGCTCCCCATTTCCAAGTACTAATTCAATTAAGGAAGTTTAATTGTTTTCAGATACAAAGGTATGCTTGATGGCCAGATAACCAGAAAAACAACTATTTATCAACAGAAGAGTTTTATTAAAAATTACTGATGCAGCAGAGTTTTTTAGCACATCCACTTTGTTTTACTCCTGGTACAGCTCACTGGGTGAGGAATTGCTAGGATGTTTTCTGTTAGCCGTAGTTTGTAAGGTCCGAGAACGAACCTGGTGAGTAGCGAGCCTCAGTGTAATTTCTCCTAAACGAAGTAAACTGAGAAAGATGCCAGGGACCACAGCGAGAGTCTGTCAGGGGGGTCTTGCAGACTTTATTTGACTCTTTCTTTGCCCGACTCCTGGGAGGAGAACACTCGCCCACCTGCAAGCTGACTGCATCCGAGGTTGTTAAGTCCTCCGTGCTTGTGGCCCCGGGGTTCTTTTCTGGCTTCCAAGGAAATAAGCCTAAAATTCCTCCTGATGTGCTTGGCTACCTACAGTCCTTCTAAAACGTGCTTTGGAGGAGTTATTCAAACATTTTAAGATCCAACTTGGACCTGCCATCATCAGACTGTCTTTGAGGCACAATTTTCATCCATTATATAATTGGATACCTAGGAAGGAATTCAAGATAAGTCACCTTACAACACATATTTTTCAGGTCCTCTTCATTCCTGTACATACTAAATTTCTTTTAGGGGCACATACGTCTCAAAGTAAGCATGTAAGTTTTAGACAATGATGCTCTGTGGTTCATTGCATAGTTTAAATATTTGATATTGGGGAATACAGGTAATAAAAGCCAAAAACCTGGCAGATGGAGAGGAAAATACCTTGCTAAGCTTTGTGCCATTTTGGCTAAAGACATCTTATTAATTCACAGCAGAAGTAAGAGGCAGAAGAAGCAGAACCTTGTCAAGCTCTTAGTTTGGTAAATGGGTTGGTAGAAAAGACATGACAATTCAGAAAAACAGCCCAAGTTTTGTCTTGGTCTTGTGACTTCCTCCTCATCTCTCTCTCTCTCTCTCTCTCTCTTGCAAACAAAAGTAGTGGACAAGTGAGAAATCAGATCTGCATCTTATCTGG